TATTGTATTGTTCTCCTTGATGACTGTGATCATTTGTATGCCCACCAACCATTTACAGAGAGGTTCCTTTTGTTCCATAGCCTTACCAATCCTCGTTTCTTTTGATATTTGTGATTCTGTGATGAATACTTACAATTTTATTTAGACTTTATGAGTTTTTTCCCAACTAGCATATATTGAATGCTTACCTTTGTGTAAATTGTTAAATGTAGGATTATAGTTGGACACTTAATAAATAGTACTGCTTCAGAAGTTTAAAATGAAATATCACCTAGTGTTTCTTTAGTCTTAATAAGCTTTTGTATTACATCCTTATGTTTAAAAATTACAATATATCACTTAATATTTAACCATGTTCTTCACATGAGAGGTTGAAAAGCTCCTAGAAAACTTAGCTGTGTGATTTGAAGTTTGCTTCTGTTTCATTAGAAAACAAGCAACCTATCAAGTTTCATCCCTAGTGAAAATTGATACTCTCCGTCTCCCCACAAGCATTAGTTACCAATAACTGTTTAGCTGTAGGGGGGACTTCATGTGTGCCTCCCGTTTATGCCGGGATTCTAGTTAGCTGATCTTGTACAGGTCATCATCATTGTAACTCACAGGGCTCAAGCTGGCCAGACTAGGAATTTCTTTTCTCCCCCAGTGGTATGAATTGCACCTTCTAGTTTATAATAAGAGGAGTTTTGTTCTTGTTTTTCTGAGAAAACGGCCTTTCAAAGTGCAGGGCTGATTTCAGAGTTATAAACTTTCTGCCCCAGCTTCCTAGTTCTTGCATACCAGAATTTCAGACATGTGTCAAGACCATTTTGAAAATCTATTTAAAATTAATCTAATGTCTTTCTCAAAGCCACAATTAAGAATATTTTATTTTCTTTGTTTTTTTTTTACATTTATTATTTTGTGGGTGTGTGTCCACATGCACAAGTGCACACTTACTTGCATGTGAAAGTCAGAAGACAGCCTTGGGAGTCAGTTCTCTTCTGTCATGAAGGTTGTAAGCACTGAACTTAAGTCATCAATCAGATCAGGAGTAGGAGCAAGTTTCTTTAGCCGCTGGCCCTCTTGCCACCCCATCTTTATTATCTTAGATGCATTTCTAACCCTGTAGGTTACTGTCACATTCACTGCTGTAAAGTAAAAGTTACCATGTATATATTTGCTTCTGTTTCTGTTGTTCATCCCTAGTTTCTTTCCTTTTTTTCCCCTTTTTTAAAATTGTTTTTGTTGAGCTATGTTGTAGGAGCCCTCTTGTTCGTTCCTGGCTACTCAGTCCTGAAATAATCCCTCAGAAACTATATTATTTGCAATACTATTTGGCCAATAGCTTATGCATATTTCTAGCTCACTCTTATCTCTTAAATTAGTCCATTTCTATTATTTTATATTTTTGCCGTGAGTCTCTTGACCTACTGACAAGGTTCTGACTGGCAGCTTGTGTCATTCTTCTCTGGTGGCTCTATGGCAGCTTTCTAACTCTACCTTCTTTTTCCCAGGATTCAGTTTAGTTGTCCTACCTAGTTCTATTTCTGCTAAGCCACTGGCTAAAACAAATTCTTTATTCATTAACCAATAAAGGCAACACATATTCAGAAGGACTTCCCACAACATCTCCCCTTTTCTGTCTAAATAAAAAGGAAGGTTTTAACTTTAACATAGTAAAATTGCATATAACAAAACAGGTATCAAGCAAGAATTACAGTTACAACATTTATATCTTTTATCATAACTAAGGAAAACTATAACTATCTCTTCTTCAACTCCATTAAAGACTCCAGAATGATGTAATATTACCTAAGTAAACAGGAAGTACATTTTAAACAACTTCTAAAACTCTAGAATTCACAGAGACATCTCGCTGCCTGGACAGTCACCCAAAATTCTTCTCTGTTGTTGGAACATGCGTCTTCAGCTTACAGGCCCATAGATATTATCCAGCAGACTTTTCCATGAAGCAGGAAGTTTTCAAAGACAGTTCTGCCTATGTTGGCAGTTTGTCAGTCACTTTCTTCTGTGTCCTGCAGAATGTCTTACAGACTCTTTCATGAAGCAGAAATCCAGAAGGATCGTCTCACCTTTAGGCAAGTTCAGCAGTCCTTTCTCTGTGGGTCCTGCATGTTCAGTTTATACAGCATAGCATCAAGCAATTCTGGCAAGAGCAGTTTCTTACCCAAATGGCTAAACAGCGCCATAAGGAGTCTGTTCAATGCCCATCTTTCTCTTGAAGTAGATGTGTCTCGTTGTCATGAAAAGTCCTAATTTCTTAAAACATTTTAAATGTCATATTCTGTAGTCTTTGAAAGATCTGAAGAATACCTATCCATCTGAAATACATCTGTACATCTAGAAAACTTAACTAACATGACTACAAGTTTCTATTATAGATAACTATCTATTATCCTAAATTTATTAATTATGCATTACATATTTAAATAAACTGGAGAAACACAATACCTTAATCAAGAGCAGAAATATATACATATACACAGTATAAAAAATTGACCTTAAATTTGGATCAATAAACCAAGATCCATACCAATGCAAATCTCTATAGCATATCCCCCTTTAAATGTAGACAAACATTTATAAACAATCACTTAGGGAATTTGGGTGTAGTTCTTTCCAAACTGCTTTCTGATTTTTGATGGGTGAAGTATTTTTGGGGGGCTTTCACAGAGACCTTTCAGGTGGTCTTGGTCCATTAAACCACATTAGTCTGGAAGGATTGCACAGGTTCTCATCCTCTGTGGATACAAAAGAAGAACCTCTTTTCCAAAGTAACATATTCTTAGAGCCAAATTCTGAAATCAAGATACCTTTAAAATATATTTTCTGGCTTAGCTTAGCAGCCCATACAATGAAATGTCTCTCTGTACTTAGCTACTTCACAGTTAAAAAAAAATTCAAAGAAAACACAATAATATTGCAATGTACTTCTTATTAACTTATGTAATATTATATTCTTCTGGAGTCTTTGATGGAGTTGAAGAATAGATAGTTATAGTTTTCCTTAGTTATGATAAAAGATAAAGTAGATATAAATGTTGTAACTGTAATTCTTGCTTGATACCTGTTTTGTTATATGTAATTTTACTATGTTAAAGTTAAAACCTTCCTTTTTATTTAGACAGAAAAGGAGAGATGTTGTGGGAAGTCCTTCTGAATATGTGTTGCTTTTATTGGTTAATGAATAAAGAATCTGCCTTGACCTGTGATCGGGTGGAGTAGAGCTAGGCAGGGAAAACTAAACTGAAGGCAGAGTCAGGAGAAGCCATGTAGCCCCACCAGAGGCAGATGTCGGCTGGAACCTTGCCCACCTTGCCACAGCCATGTGGCAATGCACAGATTAATAGAAATGGGTTAAATTAAGATGTAAGAGCTAGCCAATAAGAAGGTAAAGCAGTGATTTAATTAATACAGTTTCTGTGTGATATTTCAGGAGTCTGGGATGCTGGGAAAAGAACGAGCAACATCCTACAACAGAACTATATATATTTCTCCACTCCCCTCCTTTCCTTCTACCCTCTCCCATGGTCCCCATGCTCCCAATTTTCTCAGAAGATTTTGTCTTTTTCTATGTCCCTTGTGGTTTAGAGCCATATATGTATTTGTTATGGTCCTCGTTGTTGTCTAGGTTCTCTAGGATGGTATATTGTAGGCTGTTTTTACTTTGCTTGATGTCTAAAAGCCACTTATGAGTTAGTACATATGATATTTGTCTTTCTGGATCTGGGTTACCTCACTTAATATGATGTTTTCTAGATCCATCCATTTGCCCGCAAATTTCAAGATGTCATTATTTTTTTTTCTGCTGTGTAATGCTCCATTGTGTAAATGTACCACATTTTCCTTGTCCATTCTTCGGTAGAGGGGCATTTATGTTGTTTTCAAGGTCTGACTATGACAAACAATGCTGCTATGAACATAGTTGAGCACATGTCCTTGTGGTACAATTGAGCATCCTTTGGATATGTACCCAAAAGTGATATTGCTGGAACTTGAGGAAGGTTGCTTCCTGGTTCTCTGAGAAATCCCCATACTTATATGCAAAGGGCCTATACCAGTTTGTACTCCCACCAGCAATGGAGGAGTGTTCCCTTTACCCCACATCCTCTCCAGCTTAAGTTGTCAACAGTGTTTTTGATCTTGGCCATTCTTAGAGGTGTAAGATGGAATCTCAGAGTTGTTTTGATTTGCATTTCTCCGATGACTAAGGATGTTGAACATTTCCTTAGTGTCTTTCAGCCATTTTAGATTCTTCTGTTGAGAGTTCTCTATTTAGGTCTGTACTCCATTTTTTTTAATTATTGGATTATTTGTTCTTTTGATGACCAATTTCTTGAGTTCTTTGTGTATTTTGGAGATCAGCCCTCTGCCCGATGTGGAGTTGGTGAAGATCTTTCCCATTCTGTAGGCTGCCATTTTGTCTTGTTGACCATGTCCTTTGCGTTACAGAAGCTTCTCAGTTTTAGGAGGTCCCATTTATTAGTTTCTCTCAGAATCTGTACTACTGGGGTTATATTTTGGAAGTGTTCTCCTGTACCAATGTGTTCAAGTGTACTTCCCACTTTCTCTTCTGTGAGGTTCAGTGTGGTTGACTTTATGTTGAGGTCTTTGATCCATTTGGCATGGCGATAGATATGGATCTATTTTCATTCTTCTACATGTTAATATCAAGTTGTGCCAGCACCATTTGTTGAATATGCTTTCTCTTTTCCATTTTATATTTTTTGCTTTTTTTGTCGAAAATCAGGTGTTCATAGGTGTGTGGATTGATATCTGGGTCTTCGATTTGGTTATTGTTCATCTTTATCTATGCTAAGTTTCCCTTTTGGTTTTAATCTATGCTAATATTTTGTAATTAAATAGCAAAATGTTATAGGGAAACTTGTTGAACTGTAGAAACTGGTAGATTTGGGCCATATTTTTTTTAATACATACAAACTGTAGAGATAGGAACATTTGTTTTATAATGATATTCTTATTTATTTTGCTTTTAGTTTTTACCAAATTCGTGCATCAATGAAAATCCCACTGAGAATTCCCCACAGAGTAGAAGCCAGCTTGTTACATGCAACAGGTAAGTAAAAAATATTTCAAATTTAAAAATAAGAATTTGAAGTAACATATTAGTCAATGATAGTGTTTTATAAATACTTTTACTTTTTTCATCTGTTGGCATGAATTACCAGATAGGATTATTCTGATTTCCCTCTTAAGAAATTAGTAAAACAAGCTTAATTTGGTTTCTTATAGATGAACACATAAGAAAATGTTTATGAAAATAAACATAGATATGTGTGGTATTAGTTGTGTAAGTTGTGGTTTAAAACGATACACAATGAAAGTATATACATACCTGATTTAAAATTCCCAGGCTATTATATATAATGGAATTTTATAATATGCTTTTGAATTTTGCATTCTAGTGACTCAGCTTCTCGAATACTGGTATTTTAACTGTGTATCACCATACCCAGCTATAGAGATACACTAAAACTGCTATATTAAATTATCTCCATCCTTCACATATAAGCTACATAGGAATTTTTTGCCTTTAGACTTGAGTCTCATTCCTAGCACTATTATTATATTCATTATTTATATCCAGATATTTTCCACAACCTGAAAAAGTTAAAAACCTTAAGCACTTTCAATTCCAAGCATTCTGGATAAGAAATACTCAGTGTGTTATGTGTTTTTATTCCATGATGTTAGGAAGTGAAATGATTAGTAAAAAATTGTAAAGAATTGCCATGTAAACCTGATATTGTAGTTTTCAAAGCATTATAAAAATAATATGCTAAGCCTCAAGTTATGCTGAGCACAATACAGTCCTTTTGATATTTAGAGAAATTTACTGGAAATTAGAATTGTTAGTTGCCTTTTTATCATACTGTAGATATCAACATGCTAGTTTGTATTAAATTTAATGAATTGTATTATTGTGTATAGTGGCATTTGATTTGCATCTTAATAAATAAAGCTTGCCTGAAAATTTGAGAAGTAAAACAGCCACACTGGCCAGCCTTACAGGCCAGACAGTAGTAACACACACCTTTAATCCCAGTAGCCACACTAGAAACCAGGCATGTAGTGGTACACGCTCTTAATCCCAATACTAGAGAGGAATGTAAGATAGGAGGAGACAGCTCTCAGTCTCATTCTGAGATTTCCTGGAGTCAGGATCACCATTTTCAGACTGAGGTCAAGTTAAGAGCCAGTGGCTGCTATTTTGCTTTTCTGGTTTTCAGGCTGAACCCCAAAATCTGTCTCTCAGTTTTTGTTAATCGTGTTTCATTTGGTGCCCAATGTGGGGCTCAAACCCACTACCCTGAGATTAAGGGTCTCATGCTCTACCGACTGAGCTAGCCAGGCCTGGGCCTTCCTGGAGTCAGGTGGCTTGGGAACTGAACTTAGGTCCTCTGGAAGAGCAGTTAGTGCTCTTAACTTCTGAGCCATCTTCACAGCCTGATGCTCCTGAGGACTGTGCTAAAACTAGCCCATTTCTGAGGTGTCTCTGGCCCTCAAGTTTTCATCCCCAGGCAGGGCTGAGAACGGTGAGGGACCTGTGCCCTACTCCTATCATGCAAGGTGTTCTTAGAAAGTTACAGTGGGTAAGCCTCTCCTACTCACTTCTTGTCCCAGCTGAAACCCTCCAGAGAGAGATGCAGGGAGACTGGCTCTGGCACCCTCCAGGTCTCACAGCTAATGCTCCACTTCAGTCTACTCAAGCAGCTGTTCCCAGTGCCCAGGGTAGGGAGCAAATACTGGAGGAGAAAAATCTCAAACATCTCATCATGTTACATGGTTCCATGCAAGTCAGGTAGCAAAGGAAGCAATTCACCACCAACCTAAGAGTCCTAGCAACTGCCTCAGAAGACATGCTCAAATTCTGTCTGGTTGGTAGTGGCTGGATTTCGTCTCTGGTTTCAGACTACTGGGTGATCTGGCAGCCCTTTTTGTTGTGGAGGTGTCAGGTGTTCAAATGTAGACGTCAGGTGGGTAGAGAGCTCACCCTCTACGTCTGAGGGCGTGGGATCTGATCAGAATAAGTTATGGTTGAATATATCCCAGGCCCCCTTAGCCTTATTTCCCAGGGAAAGGTGAGTGCACGATCCACCATTTCTGCAGCCCCGTGAAGCAGGACAAGCAGATGTGATAGGGAGTCAAGTCAAAGCAGGAACTCGGTTTATTACTGTGAGCGTAAGTTTATATAGGTCAAGTGACATCATGTGATGTGGAGGTACCTCCAGCCAATGAGAGACAGCCAAGCCCTCCCTCTGGCTGAAGGGGCGTCTACCTAGATTCCTAGATTTCACCATCTCATCCCCACTCGGTAGCTTTGAGACTATCCTTCAAACTCGAGCCAGTCTTTTCTCTGTCCTACAGGCCTTGAGCTACAGGCCCTAAGATAATTTTGGCCTAACAAATATATACAAAACTAGATAAGTTATAGTTTCCTAGAAGATTATTGTGTGAAAGGCCAGAATGGAATGTGCTATAAAGAACAAACCAAGTATGTTTATTATATAGTGTTACTGTATTGAGCAGAAATAGCTTTTTTCCATGTTAGGTATAGTTTGTTTGGGGGAGAAGGCAAATTTCATATTTAAGAGATTAAAATTTGTTACAACTGAAATATTTTTAGTAATTAAAAGAATTACTTCTACCTATTTTTTCTTAGTTTCTAAACAAATCCCTGGAAGGAGTAGAAATTCTAATCCTGGTTTGTATAATAGAGTAATTCTAAGGAAGATTATAAATGCCAGAATTAATATACAATAGAGTTAATGACAAATAGATATCTAGTATTTGAAGCAAAATCTTATGTATTTAGATTGACCTAGATGAATTAAATGTCAAAGTATTGCATATGGTTGGTGTGTTTTGTTGAAAATTGCATTATGATTGCTATAATTTTCTTTTATTTTTTGTTTTTGTTTTTTGTTTTTTGAGATGGGTTTCTCTTTGTTTTGTAGCCTGTCCTGGAACTAGCTCTTGTAGACCAGGCTGGCCTCAAACTCACAGCGATTTGCCTACCTCTGCTTGCGGAGTGCTAGGATTAAAGGCGTGCACCACTACCTCCCGGCTCATAGCTTCCTTTTCTCTATGTCAGCTTGACCTACACTTTGTAGAACATTTCTCTACTTCTCCTTGTTGGCAGATAAGCTAGGGTCTAGGAAGAGCATGAGAAATAAACTGCCAAAAGATTTAGCAGTAGCTTATGATTACTTTCCTACTCTTGTAGACCTTAAGTGACTCGCTGACTGCTGTTTGTATTATAATCTATTATATGTATTCCTGCCAAGAGTACCCTTTTCTGTCCCTAGTCAAAAATAGCAATGGCATCATCTTGATTGACAGTAAATCAGAATTATAAATCTTGTTAGGGGTTTTGTGATCCAGTAGTTGGAATGACATAACTGGTGTACCATTCAACCCCTCTGGACCTTGAGAGCAATTTAAGTCCTGAAAATTGGAGCAGAAGCTACATTTCATGGCAATAAGAAAGTGAGCTCTTAAGTGCTAAGCAGTTTCTCCAGCCCCTCAGATAGGGGGCAAATACAGGCAAATAACTAAAAGATCAGTTAGTTCAAAAATACATTTCTACCTCTTTTTCAACTTTTTCTGCTACCTTCTTCCTGGTTCATATGATCATAGGTAAATGTTCTTGTGGTTGAATTTATAGGTTGAAAACCTGTCAGCAGCATTTGTGGTTTTTGTTATATCATAAGAGGATAGAGATTTACTAAACTGAGATGAGTATCAAGCATGGAAAAAAAGCTTAAGTTTCTAGAAGAAAATGTAGGGATGTCTAGTTGTTTGAGTATTGATTTAGTCAAGTAGGTAGATAGACAGACAGGCAGACATGGTTATGGTTTAACTGTTGATTTAGACAGCCACCCGCAAATAGTAAACAATGTAGGTGTTATTAGAATGCAGAGACTGGCTTCCTTTTATGCCCCCTGGGAAAACTCACTTTTTTTTTAACCTCAGAAATAAAATTCTATTATAATAACCCAATATCAAACACACTAAATAACCGCACTTTAAAAATAATGTAAGGAAATAAGTAACTGGAGTCAATTCATATCATGACTAATTATTTACTGTAACCGGTAACTGACTAATTTCAACAGCCATGAGTAGAAAATTTATCAGATTTTGTGGATTATTCATAATTCATTTGGCATTTCAAGCTTCTGTTTTGCTTGCTACCATTTGAACAGCTTCATTCTTTCAAGGAAAGATTGAAATTATTTGTCTGAATATTTGTGTTCAAACTGTGCCATGAACTCAGAAGACAGTCTATGGTGCTTGCTTATGCTACTGTCTTTTACTTTGCAATACTAATAAGGTGAGGTTGAATTTACAGAAAAAAAGAAAAGCTCACTTGTTCACAAAGCACAGAAAGATAGCAAAGCTACTTGTTTAGCTGAAGTAGTGAAAATATAGCTTGGGTAGTGATAATACTAAGATATAGATTATTTTAAGTATTAAGCTTCTACATCTGAAAAGTGTCTAAAAGTAGAATCTTGGCTGTGTTAGTAAATAACTGATCAACAAAATGCAAATAGTCACTTGAACAAGAAAATAGGTCACTAAATTAAGAATTAGATGGTAATTTATTCAAATATACTCTTGAAATGTTTATTATGTTTAAGAGAGCAGTACTTAATCCAAAACTAAAGGACTGTGTGATTCTTAACTTCATGGAGGACTTTGCATTTAGCATGTTGAGGAGCTGTTTCTGATTCAGAAGAATACACTGAGTGTATACATGCTTTGACCCATTCTAAGCCCGTTTGCAGATGTCGTTGTGTAAAAAGAATAATATGAGAGTAGAGTTGAGTGCTGGTCATCAAAGCTGACTACCTTGATTGACCACTGAACACTAGTTACATGCTACGACACCATACCCATAAGTGTGCAGGATTAAAATGCTAATTTAAAACCAAATTTTAGAAAAAATATATAGCAACTCTGCATTTGCGATAAATGTCTTTCCACCCCACATTGTGAGGAGCTTTGAGACCTACTAAAAGATAGTTATGAAAAGCTTTAACTGGTGTTCTCTCTACTGGGAAAGGGTTGGTATTTCCCATTTTTTTCTAAGAGCAATGCAAATAGAGTGTTTTGGTTTCTAGCTCGCGTGCTTAAAAGCTTCATTTAGATTTCTGCTAGGTCTCAGTTCTCTAATCATGGCTGAATGAAGGAAGGGGAATAGAGTAATTAGATAGGGTGAGAACTTGGGACATACCTCTTTGAGGGTCATTTTAGATTGCTAAGGAATTCTTGATAGTATTTGTAGCTGTTAAGTGCTTGCTGTTGGAGAGGGATTGACATTGGGTCTTCCTCATTCTCTCCCCCACCATTTTCTTTTCTTGAAGTATCATCTCTCATTGAACCAAAAGCTCACTAGCCAGCAACTTCTGGGTCTTGTCCTATCCCTGTCCCCCACCAGAGCTGCCTTATAGATGACTACCACCATGCCTGGTTTTTATGTGCATGGTAGGGAATCCAAATCAAGTCCTCAGGCTTGCATAACAAGCACTTTGCCCATGAGCTGGCTTCCCAATTTCTTAGAGATCTAGTTTATTGGTTTAGTCAGAATCCTAATGTCAAGAATTGTGAAGAATCTTAATATTTGACCTTCTGCATTGTTAAAAATTCTTTTTTGTGTACTTCCTTGTGTTTCTGTCTGTCTTGTGAGCAGAAATAGTTAGAAGACCTATTATAAACTTAAACAAATACTCATTGGCAACTTTGGAAGCTATACGTCTTAGTATGAAGCATGGAATAAACTTTTCTACTGTCTAGTCTGATGAGAATGCCTCCAGCTGATGCAGAGGTTAGACAGATTTACATATATCTGCTGATAAAGATCGAAGAAAAACTCATGGCATGTGTGATATTCATTTGGCTAGTCTCCCCATCACTTCCATGGAACTTGAGAAAGTGAGATAGTGATGTACAGCTACTGTCTATGCGGGGAATTATAAAATCTTTTCTCTTGTGTCTTCTAGAATTTGTAAAACTATAGCAGATTAGCTAGTTAACCACCTTATGAGTGGAATAATTTCTCAGGAGAACGCAAGAGTGTGTTGTCCAGAAAGGCAAATTAAAAGTGTTCAAAACTGAAAGAAATTGTTACTATGACAGATGCTGACAAGTAAATGGGATTTGAGAATTTTTTCATTAAATGTAATAGTGCAAAATTCATTAGTCTTGACACACAGTTGCATGGGTCAGAGAGTAGCTAGAATGTGGATTAATTTTTGCTGTGTAAAAATTTACCACCCAGCTTAGTTTTAAACACCCTTTCTCACAGTTTCTCTGTAGCAGGAGTTAGCTCCATGCCTCTGGTTCAGACTCTCGTGAATTGAAGTCCATTACTTCTGCTTTACACAAATTATACCGTCACTTTGCTGTATTCACAAACATTAATCCTTATAACTTTGTAGGAAGAATTTATACAAGGATATGGACACCAAGATGCAAGAATCACTGGGCCATCTAAAATTCTGGCTATAGCAAAATAGACTGAATAGAAAATAAGGGGAGGATATGAATTAAATAAATATACTATATGCCAAGAACTTGAGCTGTTTGCTAAAACGGAAGTAGAGAAATAGTAAGTTTGTCTAGGATCATCTGCAGGTAGATATGGTAGTGGAGCATATAGAAATTTTCTGATAGGTTATTATTGTTGTTATTATGTCATGAAATAAGAATGAAAATTATTAGACCCTAAAGACTAGGGTTGGGAAAAATAAACTGTGAGGTAGTCACCTAGAAATGTGAGCAACAAGCAGGTTCAGAAGTCAACATGACTTGAGATAAGTGGTCATGAATGTAAAGCACAGCAAGTCCAAATGGTTGTGTACTTTTCCTCATCCAGTTGCCCAAGCTACACTAGAATTGTCAGCCCTTTTTCTTCAGCTTTGAGAGTCTTTGGGGTTCTTGGCACATGTTACCGTTCCTGGATTCTCTTAATAGGGTGTGTGTATGTAAAAGGCTGTGATAATGATGAAACAGAATTTAAAATGTGATAAGAAGGAAAGTGGGCATTTGGAGGTAATCGCTGAGACCAGAAGAAGCCTAGGAGTCATAGAATAACTCCTAAATGTCCCGAAGGATTGTTAGACCTTGTTATCTGAGGAAGTAAGCTGGGAAGCTAGGTGTAGTTATAACAGGAAGTTGATTGAAATCTATATTGCAGAAGAATTGCAGTCAAAAGTAATGTAAAATTCTAGGAAATGACCATAGGAAAGAGGAGCTAAGGAAGGCTGTGGGCAGGAACACACAAAGAGGAAAAACACCTAGAAAGTTGGGGGTGCAGGGTTTACCTGTCTGACTGTTCATGAGGAATAACATATAAGGTAGTTTTGGAGGGAATAATTCTGAATTAAGAAGCAAAATCTTTAAGGAATTAAGTTCTTGGTGACACAAGAGTGAGTGGGGTGGCCACTGGAATACAGTGGTCTAATGACACAGTGTTTTAATGGGAGACAGTACCTGACAGCATCAGTAAGGAAGAAGGACGCCCCAGTCCTGGTGCAAAGTGTAGAAAGGGGCTGGAGAGATGGTTCAGTTTGTAAAGTACATACCATGTGAGCATGAAGGCTAACATTTGGGTCCCAGCTTTCACGTATAACGGTGGGCATGGCAGCCTGTAATCCATGGGAGAAAGACCAGAGAATTCCTGGAGCTCATTGGTAGGCCAGTGTAACTGAATTTGTGAGCCCTAAGTTCAGTGAGAGACCTTGTCTCCAAAAACTAAGGTGTGATGTGAGGGAGAAAGACACCTAAGAGCAAGCTTTAACCTCCATACATACTCCCAATCCTTCCCCACACATACAGGGGAACAAATAGGAGAGGAAGTAGCACACTGGAAAATCAAAATACACAGGAGGAGCAATAGGAAAAGCCTTTGTTTCTTGAGGCAAAAAAAAAGAAGTGTAATTATCATTATCTAAGGGCTGTGCGTAGAATCTAGATTGTATTGAAAATTTCTTCTCCATCTTGGTTCTTCTCTAAAACATTCAAAATGGAACTTTGAGCTGTTGTTTTTCTTTAAATGTATATTCTGAAATATCTCAAACTTTCAGAAAATTGTAAATACATTTTAAAACCCACTTTATAAAGTATTTTATCTGCAAGTGTTTGTACACATGCAATTACTCACATGCCACAGCCCATGTATGGTGGCTAGAGGGACAGCTTGCAGGAGTTGATTCTCTCCTTCCACCTTGGGCTCCAGGGATGGAACTTAAGTTGTCAGACTTGTGTGGCAGGAGCTTTGACCCATTGAGCCATCTTGCCAGCCTATGATCATTTCTTATGTAGTATTACTGCTTTGCCAACCTATAAATGTGAGGAACTTGTCAGGGTGTGCATATAAGTCCTCTTGCAGAAATCTTGTTCCAGTAATCCATTGCTTATTTTCTCTTGTGGTCACTCCGTCACATGTCCCAAACTGTTACTCTGCCTTCTTGTCCCTGAATGCATTCTTTGTCCTGCTGGGTTTCCCTTTATGTCAAGTTATTCTCCTAATGTGAACATCTTAGTTCCTCTCACCTTGCTAAAGACTCTATGCCAACAGGTCATTTCAGAGTGTCCCCACCCTCCTTTGACCAAAGTAGCGTGCTAAGCTGCCACCGACTCTTTCTCTCTATCACATTGCCCATATGGAAATCTTTTGTGAGTCATCTGGACTCTACACTGTTTCACTCATGTATTAAAGTATTTCTGGAGGTAAACGAGGTTTCATAGGTTAAGAAGACAGCCCTCCTTCGGATACCAGTCATAAGTTGAGTGGCCAGCAGCAGCCTTTACTTCTGACCAACTAAGTTCACATTTAGAGCTCCAACTGTTTGCTAATTTTGATAATTCGCTAGAAGAATCCACTTAATTCAAGAAAGTGCATTTTTAGTATAGCTTTATTATTTTAACAAAAGTATCCCATCTTAACAAAAGTGTCCCATCATAGCCAGTCAGAAGAAGAAATATATGCCAGCAAGATGACTCAGTAGTTAAAGGATCTTGCCATCAAATTTAGTAACTTGTTTAATCCCTGGTACCCACATCATGGGAAGAGAAACAGCTCCCTTAAGTTGTCCTCTGACAGCCACACATGCACAAGGGTAAACATACAGACATGCTAAATAAATAAGCAAATCAATCAATAAATAACTTTAATTTTTTGAGAAATATGTAGGACTGAATAAATAAAGTCCTATATGTAAGCCTCCATTGTTTTCTTTCCATAAAATCAAGATACATTACCACCGCTCACATGCCGAACCTGTGTAGATAAGAATTTTCAGTATTACAAGTCAGGGAAGCACACTCAAAGTTCTGTTATCAAGAGATTTTTATTGATGTGTTATTAGGTATACAGAATTGATTGAATTATCCCCCAACATAATTTCAAATCTCCAGTTCTTTTTCCTGCCTAGGACCGAAAGCTAGTTCTCTAATCCCATGGTTTGTCTTCATGACCCCATCCTGGGTCACCTCCTTAGCAAAGAAATCTGAGATTGCAGAGATTTGGAGGCTTCTGCCCCAGTGACAAAGACAAAAAAGCCAGCTTTGTTCTTTTTACTTCAGCTGTGGAAATCTAAGTTGCCCTCTTTCTGTGTTTAACAGTGTTCAGTAAACTACGATTTCCTCACTTGCCTTTCAAGTCGAGAAAAGTCAAAAAGTCTATACAGGAATTTTCATAATGATTATGGTGTACTTTTTACTCAGTTTTTTTTATCAGAAATTACTTAAGTTTCCAGAAATGTTTTAACACTTTTGTATAAAATTGGTAATGACAGTGGGGTGATAGCAAATTATAGTACTTTAACATGGTATTTAATTACTTGGACTGTTTGTTCTTTACCTCTCAGTTGTATATCTCATCTGTTTTAGGTATGACATTAGCCTTTCCAGCTTCAGTTCATGATGCTATGGTTTGCAGTAAAACATTTCAGATCCTATATAAAAATGAAGAAGTTGTTTTAAATGATGTCATGATCTTCAAAGTTAAAATGTTGTTGGATGAAAGAAAGGTAAATATCTCTTCATTTCTACTTACTGCAAGACTTCACTCCATATTTGTAACATTTATAAATATTAGGCCTCTTATAAATTTCTCTTTAGATTGAAGAAACCCTTGAAGAAATAAATTTTCCGTTATCCTTGGATCTACATTTTACAGATGGAGATTATTCGTAAGTAGGCTGGCTGTTCAGAGAACTACACATCTTTAGATACTCGTGGCTTTATTTGACATCATTTTTCATTTTTGGAATCTCTTCTCCATTCTTGCCTGTTTTCAAGTGGTTGTATTTGTTCTGGGAAAGTCTATCTGGGAAAGAAGGTTGGGACCAGTCTTCCATGCCTATGCACCAGATAATGAAATCAAACAAGACGAAAAATTACAAACTTCTTCCCTAGACTCTAAAAATTTACAGTTGCTATAGTAATAGGCACTTAACTGACTTCTATTGGTCTTGGGTGAATTTTTCTTGGTATGAGTTGTAGCTTTTTTAGGTGGGTCTGCATTGATACTCAAAATGGTCAAGACTGGTGACACTCATGGGTGCTTCTAATTCCTCAATTATAAACCTCAAAGTTCCTGAGATCACAGTTATCTTGAACTTCCCCACACACCTAGACGTACAATCATACATTGTGCTTTTATTCCTTTAAAACAAGGATGGTATTTCTGAGAGCTTTTCCTTTATTTTATGCAAAATGAACAAATATTTCTTGACTGTATAATATAAAGCAGTCACATTAAAAGTCTAAGTGTCCTCTTTCTTATCATGACATGATAATACTTTTATATAGTTGCTACTGCTTCTTTTTATACTTTTTAAAACAAAGTCATAAAAATTTCTTGAGTAGAATAAGCTGAAGTTAGTAGGTAATTCCGTAGCTATAGGTAGTTTATGCTATGCATGGGTTTTTAAATGGTGATCTGAATATAATTTTTATGACTTTTTTCAGGGTTTTTGTGTGTGTAAATGTGACAGACTATAATAAAAGTACTTTTACTGACTAGAAAGTCGTTTGTTTATAGAGATCACATCTCGCTAAGCATTTAATAAATGTTTAGGGTCTCTAAGTGACACTTAAAATTTCATGCAGTAAAAATAATTTGTCATACTTTGGGCGATTTATTATAGTAAGGTTTGACCTTGTAAGAAATAGAATTGTCCCTGAAGTAAAATTTAAGATGGATGTTAATTATTGAGCTATCAAAAAGAACTTGTTTTTATAGGTATGTTAGTGAAAACATAGCCCAGTCATGCGCCGTTAGAAAGCTATGAGTAGAACCCGGCTGTTTTTATATGGCTGCCTCATCAGTCTGGTGCTTGTAAATCACTCTCATTGTAAACTGAAATAATTAAGCCTTTAAAAAAGGTTTAAATGATTTAATAAATATAAGCCTTTACTAAATACTTCCTAATTCCTTGAAAATGTACTGCTTTTTTGTAGGGCAGATGATCTGAACGCCTTACAACTAATAAGTAGTCGAACATTGAAGCTGCACTATAGCCTCTCTAGAGGACTGCATCATCATGTGAATGTCATGTTTGATTATTTCCACCTCTCCGTTGTGTCCGTTACAGTCCATGCATCCTTGGTTGCACTACACCAGCCACTAATAAGGTAAATTTATTGAAAACATGTTCCAACAAATGACAAACTGAAGTGATAAAGAATTTTAAGTACATAATTATTGATACATTTTCATTTTATGTCAGTAAATATAACTCAAGAGCATGGGACTATTAGTATCAATAACATTATTGCATAAGTATGGAATAAATGGAGTGATTTTTATAATTTAGTTAATTGACAAAGTAAGAGAATACAATACAGAAATAACCATGCAATATTGTTTAGTCTCTACCTGGTTTTATTTTTAATTTATTTTAGTTTGTGGTGTGCTGTACTGCTAACTTGTTCTGTGTAAGAGAATGTGAATGTATTCTTAGTGTCCTTTATCTCTTTCCTAGATCCTCTATTTCTACTTATTAACTGTCATATAGCCTGTAACTCCAGCTCCAGGGGGATCTGTCACCTCTGGGAGTAGCTGCACCCATGTGCACATACCTGTTCCACAGAATTTAAAAAATGAAAATAAGTCTTCAGATAATATGTAATATTTTAGGTAGCACATTTATTGAGTAATATTTTTTCTAACTACTTCCATGGGGGGAAATATTATGTTTCATCATATAATCATGCTCTGTGGTTCATTAAATAAAAATTTTTGGTGATGTAGGCACCAAATCTAAAAATACCCCTATAGATTTGATTTCTGAACTGTCTACAATTTCTAACAAAAGTCTGATTGTGACAGCTATTATGGGTGACACAAACAGTGAGTACATGTGTGTGCGCGCGTGTGCACGTGTGTGTGACAAATACATACACATAATCTGACTTATCAACTAAGAAGGTGAGTTGTAGAATTGCCCTCAGAATTTGGTGGGGCCTGGCACACTAAACACTTGACTGGCATTTGTAAGGTCCTGTTTCAGTTCCTAGTTTCTCAAAGAGAGAAATAACCTCAAGTATCTAGCCTTAGAAGTCCTTAATATTCATTGTACTTTCTCATAGATTTTAATTATTAAAAGATAATTAAGAATACTATAGAACTTAGAATGCTGTAGAAATCCTTTTCATTTTTGCAATTTGTATTCTGTGAATGTCCTACATGAAAATAAACTGCTCAGACAGTAATAGCAAGCCTCCTGTTCCTCCAGCTTTCCTCGCCCCGTGAAGACTACTTGGTTGAATAGAAATGCACCAGCACAAAACAAAGACTCAGCGATTCCTACTCTGGAAAGTGTAGTCTTTGGTGTTAACTACACAAAACAGTTGTCGCCAGATGTAAGCATTGAATATGTGTAAAACCTTTTTCATATTTTATTTTTCCCCTATTTTAAAAGAAATGTTTTTGAGTATTTTATCTGTAAGTGAATGTAGTTTCTTTGATGAATTGAGTTCAGTAACTTAAAGATAAGTAGAATCAGAACCAATTGGTTACTTTAACTATGTTATGAACATCAGCTTCTTACTTTAAAATGTTACCATGTTTAGTGACGAGATCTTTGACAGCCAATGACAGTGACCTTTGTAAACCTGTTATTGTTACCCATTGTTCTTTTAGCAAAACTGCTAGGAATATCCCAAGAAGCCTTTTAAGAAGAATGGCAGACTTGAGAGTAGGCTCAGAGTAGCATGATCATGGCCATTCTTAGGAAAGAAGAGATACGTGTAATGACTGTGAAAGCAGTGTCTCCAAAACAGTTGTCATAGGAACCTCATCATAACAAGAAGTCACAGTGTCATCAGTGTGTTATACAAATCCGTGACTGAAATTGCTATGGTTACATTTTATATTTAAATCACTTAGATAAGCAACAAAATACTGATGAATTTCTTGTATGTTTTAGAATAACTTCCTGGCAATATATAGGTTGGTTAGTTGGATATTTTTCAAGGTATCAAGTGTGATACATTAGATTTTTGTTTACTAACGTTTTGTCTTCCAAATCTGTTCTTTCCAGGGTTGTAGCTTCCTCATTGCAGAACCCTTCCTACATCATGCCTATCACTTTCATTATACACTTTGTGCCACTTTGCTGCTAGCCTTCAAGGGATTGCACAGCTACTTCATTACGGTAACAGAAGAGATTCCCTCTTGTCAGAAACTAGAACTGGGTATGTTAAAAGTGGCCAGACCTCTCCTAGTCACTCTCTCCACTACTCTCGCTAGGAAGCAGCTTTGCACAGCTTTCCTGTCCTGTGTGCTTCACTTTTCTCTCTCAAGTCTGTCTTTTCTACCCTTGATAATCACTTTGTGAACACTTTCTTAGAATGTGGAGAAATAACTTTTGTGCCAAGATTGAAGTGAATCTTTAAGTAGATTTTTAAATAACATGTTATGTCAGTATTCTGTTTCTCTTAAAGTTTAATTTAAGAGTATGCTAGAAAGCAGAGTCTTGGGAAGGCAAGTGCAGTCCACAGTTCAAGAGCCTAAGCAGGTACAGCACAGACTGTTTTTGTGCATGTCCATGAAGCTGTAAGTTATACCAGGGCTCTCTTTCTAAGAAACAACATCGTTGAAGTGTTTTAACATTTTAAAACTACTTAAAGCAAGCTTCAGGTTTTTTCAGATGTTTCATGGCCAGTATTTATCACTTGTTTGTTTATTACTTTTTAAAGATAGGACTTCTCTGTGTAGCCCTAGTTGTCCTGAACTCACTCTGTAGACCAGGCTGACCATGAGTCCACAGAAATCCCTTGCCTCTGCCTCCCAAATTCTGGGATTATAGGTGTGCTCCAGCACTGCCTGGCTTCATGGTCTATTTATAAACCTCAGTTTTCAAATATTAGCTCATTAAAAAAAAAAACTCATTTAATTATCTTGGCAGAATGAGATGTTTTTATCATTATTTCAATGTTAGAAATTTTTGAAATTTTATTTAGTCACTATTCCTGTTATATTTCTTTGTACCTCAAGGGTTTAAGTATTTTAACAATACCAATACATTCTCTAAAATGATAACTTATCTTAAATAGTTTTGGATTTGAGACTAGGTGACGGATTTTGTTTTGTTTTTTTAAGTTGTGTGTTTGAGGTTATAAAACATTGCAAGGTGGGCTGGAGAGACAGCTCAGTGATTAAGAGCACTGGCTTTTCCTCCTAAGAATCCAGGTTCACTTCCCAGCACCAACCATGTGGATTCTCCAGGTAAGGAGATAGAAGGACATAAGTGTTGTGTATGACAGGTCAGAAACTAAGGGTAAGATCTCTTGAAAGCCAGAGGTGTACAGTTGCATTAGCAATGGTAATTTCATTGGACTTCAACATAGTTGCTATGCCAGGCACAGTGCTCGATGCAGATGAAAGGACAGAGCTCCATCGTAAATAACCCCCCTGATTCCTATTCCCAGCAACAGTGATAACAAACCAACTCATTGCCAGGGTGGATAGGAGAAATTCACACAGCAGTGCTCAGCATCTTTTGGTTTTGAAAGATGGCGTAGGCCCTTAAAGGATCAGTGTGAGAATGTTGACAATATACAGTGTTCACATAGATTAACATATAATCTTTACAGGTGAAAATACACGAGTCACATTTTAAGGGAGGAAAAAGTATTTCTCAAAAACCAGGAATCATGTTTGTTGGTAAAATGTCTGACGTAACAAAACAAAAACATTTTTCTTGTCAAATAGATTAGACAGTGCTAGCACTATTTATTTTATTAACTTCAGCTTAATAATTAATTGTGTTATAATATCCTCAAATTTCTTATGTTGTAAAATTTTGGACTTATAGGTATAGTTTATAAAATTGCACATTTAAAAAAAGTCCTTATTTAAATTTAGGAGTTAGTTATTAAATGAGTATGAACATTATTCCCAATTACTTGCTTTAAAATATTAGAAAACAAAATTCTAAAGTAAGCCCACACTTCAAATTTAGAAATAAAACAATTAGAGAATAAGATTATTAGTATATTGCTGAGCTATGGTGGTGCACATCTTTAATCCCAGCACTTGGAAGGCAGAGGCAGGTGAAATTTCTGTGAGTTTGAGGCCAGCCTGATCTCCAGAACAAATTCCAGGATAGCCAAGGCTACACAGAGAAGTGCTGTCTTGAAAAATTAAGAAAAGAACGAAAAAGTATTAGTATATTATATATACTTACTGAAAATATTTATTGAATAAATTAATTGGTAAAATAGCACTGTATTTATTTTTTAATTGTGTTACTTGAAAAGTTTAGCCTGTCAGTGCAGCTTATGATACTTTCCTAGGGACTTTTTTAAAATCTAGACTCATCTTCAATAAATATTTATTTGTAATACTATGTGTCCTTAAACTTTACTATGTATGTTTTTTTTTCTTTTTATTGTAGAGGAATATCTAAAAATACTATTAATTGTTTAAAATGTTTCACATTCTGAGATTATCAATAATATTTTTGTTCTAGTAAAATTGAATTGTGGACACTCATATTTCCATGGTATATAATGTACTATTTATTAGACATTGTGATCACTAGTTTTAATAAGGGAACATAAAGTAGCTCCTGATTAGAGAATATGTATTTTTTCTGTCATTTAGTATTTTTTCTAATGTGTCAAATAAACATAGAGCTAAAATTCTTAAGCACTATGCTATGAAAAAACTAAACTCTTCCCTCTTTTAAAATAATACTTTGAGTTCCTTTCTGCTCTTTTGCCCTCTTCTTTTTTCCTAGATAAATGATGTACATTGTGTTTTGAGGACATATTATTAAACATTGGTTGGATTCAAAGAGCTCCACTGTAAGGAAGCTCATAAAAAAAGAGTCAGGAGTTCTGGAGTCTGAGCCTTACACCTGCACTTGGGAAAGCAGGAAACTGAACTAACTGGTCTGTGAGACTCTTGCCAACACTAGTATTCTCAATTTAAGAAACTAAAACATCAAAATAATAATGGAATAAGAAATATTGAGCAGCATAACTCAAATACTAAAAAGAAAATAATTTATACTTGAATGTACATCATTTGTAATTCTAATAAGCTAATTAACCAATTGCCCTATCAACACTTATTAACAAGTTGGCAAATTCAAGTAAGTTTTGTTGTAAAAGGAGTGTAGTAACTAGTGCTGTGTGCAACCCTTATAACTAGCCAAGGCCAGCATGCAGGTCCTCTATGAGCGCCTCCTCAGAAGAGCACAGCCAAGAGCCCAGAACGACACGCATGTAGGTATGTTTACAAATAGGTTAATTAAACTTTGTAAACAATGACGTATATTCCCAACGCTTTTATTTAAGAGTTCATATACATAATCAGTTTGGTTTGCACATAAATTGGGTTAATTTAATTGATTTGTAATGTTGAAATTTTTATTTAGAAGTAAAAGTGATAGTGTGAAGATCTCTCTGACTTTTCACATACTCTAGTTTTTATAATAACCACTTTTTAAGAAACCATCTATGTCAGCAAAATTGATGATTGAATAATAATTACAATTAATGTTCTTTAAGTAATTTCAACTTTGGGTAGGCCTAACCCTTACTGAAATGTGCTTAAAAAGCTGCAGCTGGGTTTCTGCGTTGGAAGGGTAAGGAAGAGGGGCACCCCAGACTGCTTTCATGGTTTTAGTTAATTTGCACATGTTTTCATCATTCTACACTTTTAAAAATAATACTGAATATTATCTAAATGTTGCTTATGTTAAATGAAGAGGTCCATTTATCTGACTTTGTTTGTACACTTTCATGTTATTTATATATAGTTTTTGGTCCAGTCACAGAGATCCGACTGCCTCTACTTCCCAAGTGCTGGGATTAAAGGCGTGAGTCACCACAACCAGCCTCCATATTGTATTTTAGACTTTTGTTCTTGCATAGCAGTAGTAACTAGTTCATTAACTTTCTGGAAGTTTTTACTTGGCCTTGAATAATGGTTACTTTTTTAAAATTGTGGATAGCTGTAGAAATTTTCAAGTGAAATAAAATTGTGTTCTCAGTTGTCAGATGAACGAACAAATTGAAACAAAGAAGTTAGTATTTCATAGTATTTCAGATGAGAACTGAGAACGATTTGAGCTGCTTAATTTTCACTAAAATTATTCTTAAAATTCATTTATCACTAGAAAAAATTAAGGTTGAAATGTTAGGCATAGTGTTTGATTCTCCTATGAAGTGATTGTAAAATTAAAAAAATTCATAGTATGAAATTGTGACCATATGTGGCATACTTTAGCATTCATTACAGTGATTAAAGTCTGCTACTAGTTTTAGTGTACTGCCAGCCTGTCTGCTTAGCTTGTAAGCATTCTGCATTTATAAAATGCTGCTTAATATAATTAAGACTTGTCTTAAAAGGGAAGTAGATTTTGATTTGTTAGAGAAAAGGCTTGGTTTAAAACTAAAAGATAAGCTGTATGGTGGTGGCATATGCCACCCAGCACTGAGGAGGCAGAGGCAAACAGGCAGATCTCTGAGTTTGGAGCTATTATGATCTACAAAGCAGGTTCCAGGACAGCTAGAGCTACACAGAGAAACCCTGTCTCAACACAACAACAACAAAACCATAAAATCTGCAAAAGTTAGTTGTAAATAACGTAACTCTTACCTGAGTATACCTCTTCACCCTGTAACCTAAGTTGTAAATAACGTAACTCTTACCTGAGTATACCTCTTCACCCTGTAACGTAAGCTCTGATTACTGCTTTCAAAAATAATGTTCTTAAAGAGACATGTACTACAAGTAAGTTTATTGCATTATCTCTCTCAGTTAGCAAAAACACTAAAAAAAAAAAATGACAAATATTTTGGCAAAGACTAGAATAGGGAAAATTTTGGTGTACCTACATAAAAGAATGACAATTAGCATTTATTGAAAGTGCTTAATCTAGGGAGTAGATTTCGCCAGGGAAGTGCTGAGAAAGCAATGCAAATACCAGAAAACAAAGTAGAATTACACTGTTGAAAACTCATATGTATGTCATAGAAGGATATATTCTAGATTGTAACCTTGAACAATAGGTGAAACAAGGTCTCAAGATAATTTGAATAAAATAGTGGGATCAATTTTACATTTCTGTTAATTGTTATATCATAATATATTATTTGAAAAAAATATAATTAAAGCATTTAAAGTGAGACAAAAATCTGTAAGTGATTTTGAAATCATTATCCATTAGTTCAGCAGTTAAATTTAGCTTTTACTCCTTGAAGATTTTTTTAGCTGAGGCCATCAGCCAGTGGGTAAGTGCCTATTGCACAAGCGTGAGGACCTGAGTTAGAATCCCCAGCACTGAAGTCAAATCCAGGTACAGCTGCTCGTACCTGCAGCCCCAGCAGTGGGTGCGGAGACTGAAGAATTCCTGGAGTTGGCTGGCTAGCCTGAGTAGCTAAAACAGTGAGTTCTGGCTCCGTGGGAGACTCTGTCTCACAGAATAATGTGGCAGCAAACCAGGAAAACATCCAGCTCTAACCTTTGTCTAAACACACAAAGAGTGTTTTCATGAAGTAGTTCACTAGCTATAATAGGCATTTGGACTCTTAGATACAAACATTAGAAAAATGTATCAGAATTCTAAAGTTTATTTTCTGAAATGGGATACATAACCTAAATCCAATTTTAATGATTTTCTTTTGTCATAGGAAAAGAAGATGAATAATGTGAAATTAGATTTAGTATATGGGATTTATGCAGCATTTACTGTTGGGATTTTGTTTTTGACTTAACATTAGAAGATACTGATGTTTCTGACAGTGAATTTTTGTGAAATCAGTTGCAACATGTCATAGGATGCATGTTTGTGTGAGAATGACTTTTTTAATGAGTTCATTTTAGTTATACTTATTTTCCTAGTTTAAAATTTATATTTGAGAACTTGATATAATTCTCTTCCTTTAAAAATAACTAATCTTTTTGTTACTTATTTCAGTGTTTCTGTGTTGATCTTGCCATTTTAATTATAAATTTCTTACTAGATGCTTATAGCATACCTAAGTAAATCAGAATTATATAACCAAAAATTACTTTTAACAATACATAATATCTTGTTAAATCAGGGATTAACTTTTTATTGCAAAAGATTTTTGTCCTTCGTATAATATTATACGCAGTTTCAGATCTAACACTGAAATCTTTCCTCTAATTAGTTTTTACCCCTTTCAGAGGAAATGGATGTAGAAGCTCGTCTTACTGAACTCTGTGAAGAAGTTAAGGTACTTGATTTTTTTTTTAATTCTCATTATTTGAGTGATTTCTATTTTCTTTTTTTAAATGGATAAATCTGAACTTTATTGACTTTCTTTTCCTTTTTTTAATTGATATTTATTAAGCTGTGCATTTTTCTCTGTTCCCCTCCCTGCCTCTCCCCTCCCACCTTCAACCCTCCCACAAGCCCCCATGCTCCCAATTTACTCAGGAGATCTTGTCTTTTTCTACTTTCTACTTCCCATGTAGACTAGACCTATATAAGGCTCTTTTAGTATCCTCATTATTGTCTAAGTTCTGTATTCTTGCTGGCTCTCCTGCAAAGCAGTCCTTTAAAATGATACTCTTACTACTGTAGGTCAGCTTGTGTCTTTAGCCTCTTTTCCAGTTCATTCTTACAGTTAAATTGGATACATTTTTCTTTTTTGATCAGGAAACTGTCTTGATTATTTTAAGGTCACTGTATATTCACTGTTCACCAGCTGTGTTAATGAGAGAAGTCACAGGCATGAATCAAATGGAAGTACACATTTGATTTGGAGTGTATTTCTCTATATAAGTTTCAGTGAAAGCTAGATTCTTTTTGTGAAGGGTCTCTTTAATAATTGTAAGTATGCAGGATATACAAAGATGCAATTTTCTATGCTGTCACAGGGTTTCTTTATAATTCAAATGACCATTTTCTTTAAATGTCGCCAGTATAAGATGGGCGGTGGTGGTGCACACCTTTAATCCCAGCATTCTGGAGGCAGAGGCAGGCGGATCTTTTAATTTCAGCACTCTGGAAGCAGAGGCAGGCAGATCTCTGTAAATTTGAGACCAGCCTGGTTTACAGTTTACAGATCTAGTTCCAGGACAGGCTCCAAAGCTACAGAGAAACCCTGTCTCAAAAAAAAAAAAAGAAAAAGAAAAGAAAAAAAGAAAAAGGAGAGAGAGAGAGAGAAAGAGAGACAGACAGACAGACAGACAGACAGTAAGTCACCAACATAGAGTTGAAGAGATGGCTGGGCAGTTAATAACTTGAGCTCCTTTCCAGAGCAGTGGAAGTTCCATCCCAGCACTATTCATGGCACTTTACATTGATCTGTAGCTCCAGTTCCAAGGAACCCACAGCCTCTTCTGACTCCATGAGCCCTGAACCATTTACATGTAGGCAAAACACTAGCTGATATAAAGTAAATAAATACATAAATAAATAAGGGGTTTTATATATAGTTTTTATAAATAGTTACCCAAAGGGCCGTATCCATTTAAAAATAATTATAAGAAATGTGCAGTCAATATGAATAAAATCTAGTCTTTCATAAATTAAAGGGGGAAGATTGTTTTTTCGTTTTGGGTTTTGTTTGGTTGGTTAGGTTTTTTTTTTTGGTTTGGTTTGGTTTTGGTCTTTCAGTATTTAAATCTCTTTATTCTCATTTCTTTCTTTTTGCTGACTTTTATTCATATATCTGTTCTTATATTTTTCTTCCATATGAAAGGTGTCATGATCCTTTTACTAAAGAAAACCTCCATCTGCTTTTAATACCCCACCCCACCCCATCTAACAAGACATGTTGCCAACCCTCTTTTTAAATTCACTTCTTTGTGAATCGACGTGAGATTTTAATTGTGCTGTCACAGCTTTCTCTTTTTCCGTCAGTAGAGTTAACTCTGCCGAGTCCAGATGATGAGTCTTGATTTCATGGCCCAGCGTGCATTGTTTGTGATTCCTGTCAGGGTTCATGTCAGAGTTAGCTGCTGGTGGGCCTCCTCCACTCACCCTCTGTTCCAGCTCATCAGCCTCCATTTCCATGGCGGACATTCTTAGTTTTCTCTTTAAGATTTTATTGTTTTACTTTATGTGTATGATATCCTGGCTAGCTTGCTGAAATTGCCTCCGTATCCACCAGTTAAATATAAAAAGCATTATTTGGCTGGTGTCCCTCCCTCAGCACATATGTTCACATTGGCCTTCATGCTGATGTTGTTAGTAGTGCTGTAATGAGGTCTGATGCCGACATTCCAGGAAGCAGTAAAGCTGTTGTCCTTGTTCTAGAAAGTAGAAAACCCTGATGAACTGGCAGAACTGATCAACATGAACCTTGCACAACTTTGCTCACTTCTCATGGCTTTATGGGGACAGTTTCTGGAAGTCATAACACTGCATGAAGAATTAAGAGTACTGTTAGCACAAGAACACCATACCCTGAGGGTAAGTTAAAGAAATGCCCTTTTATTGAACGTTATCTAGCTTTAGAAATTTCTTGCAAGTAAAAATATTCTTCCTTAATAATGTAGATAAATGTAGAAGAGAGACATCCTTATGTTGTTGTTTGATTCTAAAGCTAATAGTAAAGTAAGACAGTTCAGCAAACACTACATCTCAGTACCAACCTCTGCTAGTAGAAAACTACCTGAAGGTAAATAAAACATGAGTGTATATGATAGGAGATAGTGCCTAGAACCCAAAAGCAGGAATTAGAAATAAGTAACCAAATAGGCATCTCTGATAGTCTCTTCTTCTTTTATCTTTGTTTTGTTTTTCATTTTCTTCCCTAACCTCTCTCATGAGAATATATATTAGGAATTTTACAAGTTGAATCTAGACCTACAGTGGCCCTTATACAGAAAGTTAAACTATTTCATTATATAGCATGTACTAGTTACTGAATTCTGTGTAAGTTAGATCATGTACTGTGTATGTCATCTTATATGCTACTTTTTTTAATATCTGCCAATTGTTGATTTTCTCATGTGTTATGTGCCATTTGAGTATATACACGATTTATTTTGTTGATAGACATTTAGGTTCTTCCTGAGTTTGTAACTATTGCAAACCAAGAGCAGATTCTTTGAAGAGGACCATTTATCCCTAATACTTCAGTATGTATTTCTCAAGATCAGAAACACTTATCCATTATAGTAGTCAACCTTAGAAATTTTTATACTGATAATGATGTGTAGTATCTGACCTATATTAGTTAAATCTTTTGTTGGTGTGATAAAATACCCTGATAGAGGCCACATAAGAAAGAGGGGGTTTATTTTGGCTTAAGCATGGCGTCAGGAGTATGCAGCGTATCAGTCATGTGGCATCAGCCACCTGACAGCAGAGAGAGTGGGGCAGACTATAAACCCTCAAGACTTGCCCTGAGTGACATATTCCCTCCAGCAAGATTTCACATCCTAAAAGGTCCATAACCTTCCAGCAGTGCCAATGTCAATGTTGAACACAATGACCTTGTGTTCAAACACATGAGCTACAGGAGACATTTTGCAGTCAAAGCACAGTGTGGCCCGTATTTAAATTTTACCAGCTGTTATGTGCTATTTGACAACCCCACCCCAGTCCACATTTGCAGGATCAGACTTAGATTCGCACATCGCATTCTCTTTTAATGGCCCTTTAATTTCATCTAATCTTATGTCTCTTTGTCCAGTGGTTGCATAGAGTACCCTCAGTTTGCTCTATCCTTCCTAGGAAATAGAGTAAAATGGCACAATGTAAGTAGGGCTGTTGTAAATCATTTCTTTTTCCAACAGTTTGCTAGATGACATTTTTATAAGGAGTTTTTCTATTTTGCCTGTACTTTTAAATGTATTGTTATCACATAACAAAATACTTCATTTTTAAAAAATATCTGACAGATCCATAGTGTTTTCTACCATTTATTACTAATATTTTTGTGTCCTTATCTTTTTAGGGAATGGCCTTAAAGAAAGTCTCTCATTTTATTAGCATTTTTAATGGACTTTTTTATGTTTTTACTTCTTTCTTTTATGTGTTTTCTGTTTTATTATTATTATATTTCAGTAAGTAGGGTTATTGTATTGAAAACTAATTTTTTTAGGGATCTTCCTTAGAAATCCCTTAATAAATATTAGTTGCTTCTCTAAAAGTCCTAATATGAGATTCTGCAGTGAATAAAATAGCATAATTACAGTATCCACGTTAATAATGATCTTCTTTTAGCTTTGTATAGTAATTTAAAATGAATAGCTCAATAAGTGTAATGTGTATCTTTCAAATAATTTTCATTAACATATTTTACCACCAAGATATTGAACAGGGATGGATTTTAGTAGAAATATAACCAGCTCTCGTGGTGTGCTCACACTGCTGAACTGCCTTTTCCTCAGTGCTCTTTGGAAATTAGGACTTCCATGAGGGCTTGGGTGCCTCCTAGAGAGGTCAGTGCATCTGTTAGCATTGTTTTCTCCGTAGCCATTCTGACTGGAATGTGATGAAATAGAAAAGCAGTTGACATTTTCATTCTCCTAGTGACTAAGGGTGTTGAACACTTGTTCCAAGTGTTTATTGACTGCATATATTTCTTTTGAGAACTTTCTTTTCAGATAGTTCATTATTGCAAAGTTTAGATAATATACTCAACCTGAATATGTGGGCATCCTATTCTACTAAAATTATTAGAATATTAGATTTGATATTGAAAGGTTCCCAAGTTGTATTTTTTATTTCTTTTTTATTCCTTACTTACAGGGATTTTTGAAGAGGTGTTGTTTTTTTATGGTGTACTTTTCTTTTTTATTTATTTTATTTTATTTTATTTTTGCGACAGAGTCTTACTGTGTAGCTCTGACTGTCCTGAAATTCACAGAGATCTGCCTGCCTCTGCCTTTCAAGTGCTGGGATTAAAGAAAGGCATGTGTTACCATGCCTGCAGTAGGTTTTTTATATCAAGTTGTTATAGCTGGGCCTGGTATTTTATGCTTATAATCCCAGGACTGGGATGACAGAGTCAGGCTGGCTGTGAGTTTGCCATCAAAGTGAACCATGTAGTGAGTACCAAGGCTACAGAGAGTCAGGGGTACACCCTGACTCCAAATTATAAACAAAGCAAGCCAGCTATGCTTCTTACAGTCTCCTGACTGTTATGTGCAATTTTCTCTGCAAATCTTCACATTCTTTTTGATGGGTGTGTTCATGTCGTTAGCATGGTGATGCTTTCATGTCAGAATTCATGAGATTGCACTCTCAATGTGTGATGGCATAACTCATAGACCTCCAGAGAACTAGGAAAATGGTGAGTGCGGGATGTAGCTAGGTAGGAAAGCACAGCCTCACATGTGTGTGCGAGTTCAGTTCCAAGTACCAGGAAGAACAGGAGGACCTACTAAACCTTAATAAAGTAAGATAATAAAATAAAATGTCTGTCACATGTCCAAAAAAGTTTCTCTTTGTTAATTTGCTTTTAGAAGAGATGCATATCATATCAAGAAATGAGCTAGAATTGTATCTGATATTAAATGTGAATCAGTTTTGTGTAATAAGGCTTTATTGTATCCTCCTATAACACAAAAAGAAAAGACTATGTATTCAAATTAACATTTGTAAAGTGCTACATTTTTCAGGGTAATATAACTATAATCTATCAGTTAGAAAGCCTGTGCTCAACACCAGACTCTGCTGTACATGAACACATATAAAAATACCAGAACAAATTCTCTTAAAAGTTTGAACCACATATTCAGGTAAGCCCAGGAAAGAATATTTACCTCTTTAAAGCATTAATATTATATAGCCATTGAAAGTTCACCTTTTTTCTGTTTGCTAAAATTTCAATAGTTGTGATAGTGCCAAGCAAATGATTTTTAAATTGGAGTATATAGCCAAACTCAGTTTTGTAAGCCACTTTAACAAGGTAATAATATATATTCCTTGTATCCCCTAAATTTAAATTTGGAAACCTAACAAATTTTAATATTATGTGTTGCCATCAGGTGGCAGTCATACATTAGTTATGGTTACACAGTACAATGAATAGACTCATTCATAGCATAGCATCCCAGTGTGTAATTGTAAGAGAATGAAAAAAGGAACCTCATATGAATACATAGAGGCATGGAAAGATTTCTAATTGCAGAATCTTGATGTAGAAAGACAAAAAGATAAGAGCTAGAGTGTAAGATTTAGTTTCCCAAATCTGTACTTGAAATGAGTTTATCACTTACTTACTGCCTGTGTCTCTTTGGTTCCTCTTGCCATAGCTTCCTCACTGACTAAATGAAGATATCTCCTCCATAACCCTTTTAAGGTTTAAATCAGGGCCTTAGCACAGAGCCCCCTAAATAAGGTACTAGCAAGAAATACTACTTACTATAGGAATCAGGACGGTGAAGGAGAGAAGGGGAGCCACTCACCGACTCTGGAAATCAAATGGGAGCTAAAGAGAAGGAAGGTTGCAAGAGATGAAAGAGAAGTCTTCTGAGGAGCAGGCAAAGAAGGGCGAGAGGGGAAGGAAAGGGCTGGATACTGTGAAAATACAGTATGGAAATGTTATAATAAAACCTCTTTCATTGTGTACTCAATATAATAAAATACATGCTTATACTTTATAGTCACCAGGGAAAACAAACTCTAGACAGACAGGCAGATATTTTCCTTCATCCTTCCTTTTGTGCTGAGAGAAACAGGAGGTCAATAGGCAATTAGAGCACATTTGAAAGTGAAGACTGCAGCGCAGCCTCTCATCAGTACCTCCTCACTGTCTGTCTCCATGTCTGGGTTAGAGGAACAGGAGGCAAATAGGTGATTAGACACATTTGAAAATAAAGACACAGCACACCCTTCTCAGCAGGACCTCCCCACTGTATCTCTCCATGTCTGCGTTAGACACCACAACATGGTCCTCTGACTTCCTCACATGTGCTATGGCACAAACAAGTGTACACACACACGGATTCTCAACATGATATGATTTGAACACGTAACATATTTCTCTTCCGCCGATGTTCCCAAATAAGATCTTTTCCCTCTCTTTGGCTTACTGGTGTTCCATTATCTAACAAAACCTTTCTTTTCATGATTAAAAATATTGGCAAAATAGTCAGCAAATTCAATATATATTTGTCAGGTACATTCTTCTATTGTATGCCAAAATATATTAGAGGGTATCTTCAAAACATACCTCCTCTGGCATCATAGTGCATACCTTTAATCCTTGCACTTGGGGGCAGAGGCAGGTGAATCTTGGTGAGTTTAAGGTCAGCCAGAGCTAAACAGAGCCTGTCTTAAAAAGGAAAATAAAACAGTTCCTGTTCTAAAGAACACCATATACTAGGAAAGGGTATGATTTGTGCATAGTTCTGCTAAGACATAACGCAGTGACCATTAGAACAGCAGTTACAAAAGCATGTGTTTATGTCTATCCATACTAGAAGCTACTGTTGCATGTTTTATGTTCTTCACAATGCCATTACACAAGTATTGAGTGCAATTTGAAAGTGCATCACCTGAAACTCAGAGTCAAATGCCCAAAGTCACAATGCTAATACATCACTCAGTTCATGGTCATATACTTGAATGTCTGACAAATAATGTAGATGAGGTTAGCCACCTGGGATTTCCCTCCATCATTTACCATGTGTTGGGCACTATTCTGGATGCTGTAGACAAAGCAAATGGTACAAGTACTATCCCTACCTTTAAGGAAGAAAAATGAGATCAGAATGTAAGTCCAAGTTTCTCAGTTCTGTTTTTTCTTTATTCCATACCATATTGAAATACAGTGATTTAGGAACACCGAAGGAAAGAAGTGTAATTCTCATGGGAATGGTTTTTGAATGCCTAGTGGAATCGGCATCCCTGCTTGCTAGTCTATACCAAATTGACTAATGGAACATACCTTGTTATCAATGTTCCTTTTTGAAATTATTTAGGTTCGCAGATTTTCGGAGGCATTCTTTTGTTTTGAACATCCAAGAGAAGCTGCCATTGCATACCAAGAACTTCAGTAAGTAGCACAAATCCAAAATGCAGATAATTGTATTTCCTTTTACATAAGATGTCTTATCACAGAATTATTAATGACAAACTTCATAGTATTTAAGGCAGAAGAAAAGGTTTAATTTAGGAATTATTTTTTTCAAGGTTCTTTTCTGTTCAAGAAAGGTATAATGGACTTGGACTGTGTCCCCTGTTGTAAGCTTTGTCACACTTTGATAACACTGTGTAGCCCTGCTCTTCACAGGCCATCGTCTTCTGTCTTTGCTTCCTCAGGTCAGAATAGCTCACAGTCATCGTTTTCATATCATAAATGATACACAGTTCAAATGTCCAAATAGCTGGGCAGTAGTGGCGCACGCCTTTAATCCTAGCACCCGAGAGCCAGAGGCAGATGGATCTCTCTGTTTGAGGCCAGCCTGGTCTACAGAGCAAGTTCCAGAACAACTCTAAAAACAAAACTAAACCTCTGAAACTTTGCTAGCCTTCCATCATTCCTACTGGATGTGGTTAGGTATTGTTTTCGGGCTTTAAAGAGTTGCTTGAAGTCATTTCCCCGAGGAAAATAAAACAGACACAAAGAAGTGAATACTGCATCAGTTTTTATATATGAAATTTTGAAGAAGCAAAACTTGGGTGAAGAAAATCCAAACAGTGGTTCTCCTGGGGTTGACAGGGCTGGAAAATTAGAAAAAAAATGTGAGTAGATGGAAATATTTATTCTGTTGTGTATTTCTTTGTCAAATTATATAGGATATATTTCAGTTCATACATATTTTACCTACTAAAAACACTTATAAACAATAACTGTGGACATAAGAGAGTTGACAGGTGTTAGCTGTTCACACTGGGTGATAGTGATACGTAAATGCAGTTAACTACTCTATTTTGATTCTTTTGAAATTCTTATTAGGAAATTTTTTCTTTTAAAAATTTTTGGTTTTTTTTTTTTTTTTTAGTGTGACTGAATGTTTTGTTCAAATGTATGTGTGCCCACCATGTGTGAGCCTGGTCCTATTGTAGATCAGAGAAAGGAGTCAGACCTGGAACTGTAGTACATTAGTTACAGTTACATGGTTGCAAGCCCCCATGTGGGTGCTGGGAAAAAGTGGGCCTTTTACCAGAGCACTAAATGCTCTTAACCACCAAGCCTTCTGTACAAGCCCTAGAAAATCTTCCTTATCACTGTTTTATATTAGGCTTTGTGTATCTTGTTTTAAATAGATGTTCAGTGTATTTATCAATATGTATCGGTAAAGCAGCCTTGTGAAACACACTTATCCCCTGTTTTTCTCATTAAGTAATTAGTAATTAGCATTGAACTTTTGATACTTCATTCATGCAATAGGAATTAGCTTGTCAGAAAACTGTACTTTTATGACAATAATTTATTATTAGTAAAGCATAATTTTCATTTTTCCAGTTTTTAATCACTGACCAAGAAACATTTCCCAAGGACATTGTATCTTGAGGAAAGGGGTTAAGACTGGTGGGGAAGAGAACAGGGTAGATCTTAAAGTGGAGGTGGGTGTAATTATTTTTTCACTACAATCTGACTTAAGAATATTTTTCAGTGCTCAGAGTCATCTACAGATGTGCACCGCTATCAAAAATACTTCCTTCTGCAGTTCTCTTCCACCCCTACCTATTGAATGTAGTGAATTAGATGGAGATCTCAATTCATTACCTATAATCTTTGAAGATAGGTATTTAGATTCAGTTATTGAAGGTAAGTATAATCTAACTAAAATACATAAGCTATGTATGTCAATTTCAGCATATTCTTCCAGATATACATAAAACCATTCCCTAATATTAAATCATTTCCCCCCTCTAGTTTCATTTACTTTTGAGGAAATTAGAAAGTTGTAGTTAGAAAAAGTAGTCGCTATTCCTTGAATTCTCACACTTGTTGTAAACTTGAATCTTTTTTTCTTTGGATGAAAGACTTAGATGCGCCCTGGATGGGAATTCAGAGTCTTCAGATAACAGAGGCCAGTAGAATGGATAAACATGAGACTGAAGAGAGCTCTGTAGCAGGACTTTCTAGCCCAGAGGTGAAGGTCAGACCTGCTGTTGCCTCCAGTATTTGCTATACAGAAGGTGAAAAGCAGCTAACAAAATCTCTAAAAGGAAAGAATGAAGAAGCAAATAAATCCAAGGTTAAGGTCACTAAGCTCATGAAAACAATGAAACCAGAAAACACAAAAAAGTTAATAAAACAGAACTCTAAAGATTCTGTGGTTTTAGTAAGCTACAAATGTTTGAAAAATATGACATCAAGTGACCTCACTAAATGCTTTGAAGGCAATCCTTCACATAGTCAGGAAGAAGGTCTGGATCCCACAATATGTGGATATAATTTTGACCCAAATACCTACATCAGACAGACAAGTCAAAAGGAAGCTAGCTCTTTGCCAGCTAATACAGACAGAACTGAACACGAGTCTCCAGATAATGAAAGTATGCAACCAGACCAGTTCGATCTTCTGAACTCTGGCAGCCTAAATCTTTGTGCAAATTTGTCCATTTCAGGTAATTTTGGTATCTCCCAAGACGATAGTGATATGTCACATGCGGAACACAATCTGGCATTTAGAAGTTCATCAGGTGATTGCCATGACTCTCAGACAATTCCATCTTCAGGAGTTAGAACACTTGAAGTCAAGCCCAGCAGTAAAGAGCCTTTCAGTGGAGAGAAAATAACTGTTAAAATAGGAGCTTGGGCAGAGCTTCGAGAAGATGAACTATTTGCAGATAATTTACTACACAATTGTGAGTCCTCAGAATCTAATGGTAAATCCAAGTCATTAGAAATTACCCCTGGAAAGGATGCTTTACAGGAAATGAAGTCTCACTCTACTGAAGAATCATTAACCAAATTGAGAAGTCATCTGCCTGCTTCTACAAAAGAATATCATGTTGTAGTAAGTGGTGACTCAGTTAAGTTACCAGACACTAATGCCACATATGCTTCCTCTAGATTTTCAGACTCGGGTGTTGAAAGTGAACCAAGTTCTTTTGCAACACATCCAAATCCAGAAATACCCTTTGAAACTCTCCAAGGGCCAGGTCCTTATAATAATGAAAGATTATTTCCTCAGCTTTTGATGAAGCCTGATCACAATGTCAAATTTTCACTAGGAAGTCACTGCACTGAGAGCACAAGTGCTTTAAGTGAAATACAGTCATCTTTGACATCGATAAACTCCCTACCTTCTGATGATGAATTGTCACCTGATGATACCTGTAAGAAATCTGCTGTACCTGAGTGTCATCTAAGTGATAGTAAAACTGTATTAAATCTAGAAACAATGGATCTGCCAAAGTGTGATGATTCTAAAAAGTCAAGTATTCTTTTGCAGCAGCAATGTGTTGTATTTTCAGAGCATTTGGACAATGAAACTTTAGCAATGCATTCCTTAAATCCAAGTAGTAAAGACCCTTTACAACTTGTTTTCTCAGGTAAAGATACTGCCAGTGATGTGAAAAGTAGTTGTGACTCCAAACCTAATTTGGATACTGTGCTTAAAGGCTCCCCGAGTCATGATACATCTGATAACAACTCTGCAGAAACAGCAACAACACTAAGCTCAAAGCTGATTTGCTTAGGCACTCCTTGTGTTGTTTCAGGTTCCGTTTCTACTAGCGCGGAGCTTAATGAAGATAGGACTGTAGGAAGGAAACATAGTGAGCCATTAAATCACACGCAAATACATTCAGAAATCCCTGTTACTGAAAATGACCCTCATCTGAGTCCAGATGACTCTGTTTCCAGTAGTACTGATGTGGTAAAACAAGGGCTTGTGGAAAATTATTTTGGATCTCAGAGTAATCCTGATATTTCTGACACATGTGCTATTAGCTACCACAGCTCAGTTAGCTCTCAGAAGGAAACCTGTGAAAAAGGAATTAGTGATCTTCAGCAGGAACAAGGCAAAGAAGAAGAGGAGGAAGAGGAGCAGGATCAACAAATGATTCAGAATGGGTATTATGAAGAAGCAGATTTCTCAGCTGCAGACGGAACAGTAAGTGTTCACTATGCAGGTGGAGATGTGCTAGGAGAAGAGAGACACACACAGTCCGAGAGAGTAAGCAGTGAATATCTGAGGGCTGCTGTACCTGTTCCTGCTGTTTGTACTTCTGGTTGTTTGTCTTTCCCGTCTGCTCCACGAGAGTCTCCTTGTGGTGGTAAATATCCTCCTAGAAGTAAATTTGATGCCATTACAAAGCAGCCAAGCAGCATTTCTTGCAACTTTACTTCTTCAACTTCCTGGTATGAAAATTCACCAAAACCTCAAATACATGCGTAAGTAATGAAACTCAATACTGTGTGCTAAGTGTGTATCTAGAACATCAAATATAGTGTCAAAAGATGGAATCCTTTTGTTGTTTCCTCTAACAAAACATACTCCTTCTTATTAATTGTTAAGATGATGAAATGGGTACAGTATGGGCAGACCGCTTCCATATGGCCTGTTGTGTGAGTTAGACACTTTCAGCAGCTTTCTGTCAGAAGTGCGCAATCACTAAGGTTAAAACCCTGTATTTGTTAGTGCATCATTTCTCCCCTATAACCTCGGGAAAGAGTTGGGCTTTAGGAGTACACGTGAGAAATAGGGTAATATTGAGTAAATGAATGACATATTTGTAGGAACTCTTAAACCTACCCAACCCTAGTTGCCTTGCTTAAGTCAGTTGTTTCTGTAGCAGATTGATCTGTGTGCACTGGTTCCTAAAATCTACTTCAGCCTAGACCAAACCATGACCTGTGAGTTGAGAAGTCGGAACATTTTGTACAGTAGATTTTTAAAGTTCACAGATCACTCTCGTTCATGTATAAACTTGAGATCTATAAAACTTAAAGCTAGAAAGTGGTAACAGGGTCTTGAGACGCTGTCTCAAGAACAGTTGCTGCCACCTTTTGGGTTCTCTCTTTTCTGAGGCACGAAAAAGCAAAGTCTATGTGTCTTCGCCCAGTGTTTACTACACAGACCACTCTTCATCATCGCCTTCATTTCCACTTTCCTCAGCCAGATGGGGATCACACTAAATAGCAGTGCTGATGTTTAGTCTTCAAGTTCAGTCTGTTATCATGCCAGATACTATATGCTGCCCGTTACAGCCTTGTGCCTCTTAGTGCTGCTCCTTATTGGTATTTTTAGGAAGTAACCCACCCTGCTTGGATACCATACTCACTGTTGTGCTTTCCAGAATAGCTTCTTTTAAATTGTAAGAGAGCAAAGAAGAAAAAATGTGATTACATGATAAATAGCAGATTGCCATTTTCCAGTACTTCTTTTAGCTATTGTGTGCGTGCAGTGTTAAGATATACATAAAGCGTAAACCACTTCTAACATTTTCATAGCCAGTTCAAGGTTAACAGACTATTTTAAAGTGACTTGAGGCTTAAAGTGTTCATTGTTTCTAATTAGAATATGTATTAAGAGTAGCAAAATGTTGCCCTTTGATAAAGTCATTTAGATGACCCCATGTGGTTTCGTGATTTTTACAAATATTGCTGAACTTACTTTTTCTGCACTTCTCTAAATCCATTATGTTCTCTTTGTGTTCTTAAAACAGAGTGATTGATCTTTAGTAGTGAATGTTTTCTGTAATATTTCACTTCAGCTTCCTTCAGGCAAAGGAAGAATTGAAGCAACTTAAGCTGCCTGGGTTCATGTACAGTGATGTTCCTCTGCTGGCACCCTCAGCGCCTTACTTCAGTATGGAAGAGGAGGATGGTTCTGAGGACGGTGTGCATCTTATAGTCTGTGTTCATGGTTTAGATGGTATGTGTCAGCCATTGATGCACCCCATGGCAACTCAATAACTTTTCCTAGTAGGACATTTAGTTACCTGTAACCTTTTGAACTTGAAAAATGGTGAATTGCTAAGATTAATGTATATTACATTTTGAAACAAAAATATGCTTAACTATACTAAATGTAATATTAGATTTTTGTTGTTGGTTTTAAGTAAATTTGCCATGAATCTGACACTCGTGTAAATGTTTTAATTTTTCTGTATTCTGGATGATTTTATCAACTGTAACCTCAGCACTGTCCCTTTAATAGTTTTTCTGTCCTCTTTTTACCTTACTTCTTAACCTTTCATACTGAAAAAAATTGTTACCCTTGCTAATCTAAGACTTCACTAACTTCATTCTGTAGTTTTGTGACGGCGGCCATGACTACTAAGGAACTTTGTATTTCTGGGTTGATAAGCTGTTAGAAAAAGCCAACAGTTTCTAGATCAGCATAAAAGAAGTTTCAGTCCTGCCTGGTCCCGCAGCCATTAAGTCCCAAAGAATCATACAGAGGTCTACATTGATTACAGACTGATTGGCCTATTAGTTCAGACTACTTATTAACTCTTATAACTTATATTAGCCCATAATTCTTGTCTGTGTTAGCCACGAGGCTTGGTACCTTTTTCTGCAAGGCAGTCACATCTTGTGTCCTGTGCATCTGGGTGATGACTGCAGACTGACCTTTCCTCGTCCCAGAATTCTCCTGTTCTCATTGCCCCGCCTATACTTCCTGCCTGTCTACTGGCCAATCAGCATTATTATTAAACAAGAAACAAATTGTTACAGGGCAAAACCGTTGTCCCACAGTATATTACTGTAATTGTACAACAAATTATTTTATGAGATATAAAAATATTAAGCAAAGATCTTTTTTTAAAGACCCTTCAAGAAATAAAATACCTTCAATACCAATTTTTTCACCCTGTCCTCAAATACTGAGATGGGAAAGATTATCTCCTAAAGAAGCCTTCTTCACAATTGAACTCCTGGAAGATTTCTTTCAAATACAGATTGTCTGTGCATCACATCAATTGGTTCAGAACAACAGGAAAGAGATGGAATGCAGTCCATTCTTTGGTTACCTCAACTGTGGTACTAAATCTGGTGGCAACAACATACCAACACTCCCCTAAACAGACTACTTGACATAATAAATAAAACTCTAGCTAGCAGCATCAATATATTGAATTATTATAACAAAATTTAAATTTCCAGAATACAAAAATAAATATAAAGACATTTCTTTAAAATGTACTATATAAGTAAATTAGTAAGAATAATTCTAGTGAATGAGTATGCACCAGTGACTATGAGTTATTAAGTAGAACTACTCTGTAACCCATAAATGTGATTAATCAATTATACTTTTAAGCCATATAAAACTTATACTTAATAATGAAAGTAAGAGGTTTTCGCCTTAAAATTTGGAATAAAAAGGTACAATATTTTAATTAGAAAATATCTAAATGATAAATATTAAAAGAGTAAAATAAAATTGAACATCTGATAATAGTGTGTCTATATTGCTGATAAACCAAAGGAATCAGAACAATCCACTAGTTTTTTAAGATGTTCTATATTTTATACCTATTTGTTGTTTTTTATCTGACTTATAAATAGGTTTACAATGTATTTTTAGTTAACAATTGTTAAATTATCCAAGCCACCAGAAAAAATTCAACAGACTAAATCTAAACTACATTAAGATTTGTTCCATGGTCAGCTAGGCCAACGACAGAATAGGTCAGTCATGTACAGGTGCTGTATCCACCTAGTCCCGAAAGTGGTGTGCTCTTAGGTAGATAAATGAACCAAAACGTCTTAAGAAATAAACTTGATCAATAAAATAAACTTCAATAAACTTGAAAAGACATTGGCTTGGAACTCTTTTACACAATATATTGTTTATCAGCAAGTGGATTAAGACATGAACTTCCTGTTTCCAAAAACTGTGAAAATGCATGATAGTGTGCATGGCACCTTTTACTTACCTCATCCTTCAAACATCGTTTTTCATTTTCTAGGAAACAGTGCCGATCTCCGACTGGTAAAAACATACATTGAACTTGGACTGCCTGGAGGAAGAGTTGATTTTCTTATGTCTGAGAGAAACCAGGTAAATAGGCAGTATTTTTAGTGGCAGCAAATATTCTTGTGCCAGTTCCTACATTTTGCTTGCTGTAAAATGCCTGTAGTCTTGAAAATACTTTTCTAACTTTTATGAAGTTTTGCCACCAACTTATATGTTGAGGGCATACAAATGATACACCTTTGACTTAGGAGTTCTCTTTTGTGTATGAAACATTCAGCGATCACATTTCTATACAAAAATTTTTATTAATTAAGCCATTCTTAGAGGCCCTACTTTAGTAATTTAATACAGGATACTGAGGTGCCTTTCCCTAGAAACTCTGTTCTTTTTAATACAGTGAATGCTACAGTCACTAACTTGCCTAAAAATGAATTTAACTAGATTGAGAACACCTAAATAAAATATGATTGTATTCTGTTTTTCTTGTTATGGTACACGTTTTAGTATATAATATGTTTTTCTTTTATTTAGAATGACACTTTTGCTGATTTTGACTGCATGACTGATCGCCTTTTGGACGAGATCATACAGTATATTCAGATATATAGTTTAACAGTCTCAAAAATAAGGTAATGTTATTACACAGTCTGTTCTTCTATTTCTGTGACTTACAGAACTAAATAGTCTGTAGTACTGTTCACCTAATCTGAAGTATAGGAACTGGGGCTGGAGAGACGAGTCAGCTGGTAGCAGTGCCTTCAGCCAAGGAGGACAGCGTGTATTCAAGCTGTAGGACCCACACGGTTCCAAGAGAGACCTGACATCCACATGTACACCATGGCACATATGCATACATATGTATCCATACAAAATAATTTATTTTAATATAATAAAGTATAGGGAACTATAACACTAAAGGAAGGAAAGGGAATATTTTAGAGCCAGGCAGATTTGCTCAAGGTAAAGTGCTTGCTATGCAAGAATGAGGTTCTAAGTTGAAATTCCCAACACCAGGTAAAAATCAGGTGTGGTGTTGCGCATTTCTGTCAATCTGGTACTAGGGAACCAGAGACAAGTAAGTGGACTCTGGAACTTGCTTGTCAGTCGGCCTAGCCAGTTTGTGAGTTCTGGGTTCACTGAGAGATCCTGTCTCAAGAAAAAAAGTAGAGAACAATAAAAGAAGGTAGTTGATGTCAATCTCTGGTCTTTATACGTGTATGCACCCATATATATGTACCTGTATGTACATGCAAAATGCAGATTGTATTGTCTTATTGTATAACGTGTTCTGAATAAGCTTTAGAAACAGAAAATAGATTAGTGGTAGCAGATGCTATACCTGTGCCTTTCTTAAATAGTCCAGTTTCATATACAATAGCTACAAAAGTCACAAGTTTCCAACAGATTGAAATGATATTTGAAGAGATGCAAATGCTAGTTATCTTGATTTGATGATGATACGTTATATATATATATATATATATATATATATATATATATATATATATATGTTTCGGACTGCCACATTTCAACCCATAGATATGCATAAATAATACGTGTTAGTTAACATTTTTTAATTAGTTTTTCGTAAGTGTTTTGGGGGTGTATATGTACCTGCAGATACACATGCATGTGTATTCACACACAAGGAGACCAGAGGACAGGTGCAGGTATCAGTCCTCAGGCGCTATCTGTCTTGTTTTTGAGACGGGCTCTCTTGTCATCACCAAGTGACCAGACTGGCTGGTTAGCTGGCAAGCACCTAGAAATCCACCTGTCTACCTGTCCAGCACTGAGATTGCAAACTCACCCATCCTTTTTTTTAAAAAAAAAAAAAAAAAGTTTGTTTTGTGTGTGTGTGTGTGTGTGTGCACTATAGCACCCAGCATACATGTGGTTGGAAGACAGCCTGAGTCTGTTCTCCCCTTCCGTCATGTAGGTTCCAGGATTAAACCCCGGTCAGCTAACTTGCCTCTACAAGTTAATTACCCTGTGGACCCCAACTTCTTCTTTTTTTTTTTCTTTTTACCATAGGCTTTAAAAATTGAACTAAGGGCCTCATGCTTCCTAGGCAAGCACTAGCAGCTGTGCTGTTTCCCTTACTTTAAACTGTCAATGGTATAAGAGGAGCAAATAGATAATTGCACAAATGTTATGTTGTCTTTTTATGTATAATTTAATTGTTATATTTGGAGTTTAACAAGGAAGTAATTTGGATGTGTATTTCAAGAGGCAAAATTATGACCTAGTCATTGTTTGACTTTGTATTGCGTAGACAAATAATTTTTTTCTCCATGAATGTATGTGAGTCATGTATATGCCTATAACCATGGAAGCTGGAAAAGGTCATCAAATTCCTAAGAACTGGAGTTACAGACAGTTGTGAGCAGCCATGAAGTTGCTAGGATCTGAACCAGGATCCTCTGTAAGAGCAGCAAGTACTCTTAACTGCTGAGCCATATATCATTTATTCATATCCTACAAATATTTTTAAATATATTTATTTCTACACAGATACTAATTTTAAATATATTTATTTCTACACAGATATTTAAATCACAGTGATTGAGATCCACAGTCTTACATTTTTTTCTTTATGTTAGTATTTTAACTATTAAACTATTATTTAAAAGCAGAACATTTCAAATTCTTAGTATTTCAAAATAATCTCTGATGTATCAGGTTTGGAAGGTTTCTTGTGGGTTTTGTTGTTACTGGTTGTTTCTCTCTTTTAAAACAAATATGAGAGAAATTATTGTTTCTGTTTCTTTCTTACAGCTTTATTGGACATTCATTGGGCAACTTAATAATCCGTTCAGTACTTACAAGGCCAAGGTTTAAATATTACCTCAGCAAACTTCATACTTTTCTCTCTCTTTCTGGGCCTCACCTTGGCACACTCTACAACAGCAGTGCTCTCGTTAATACAGGTAAAAAGCTTTTTGTTCTCTATAAAAAAAAATATGACATGGGCAGATATATTAAATGTAGTTTTACAATTTTTTGCTGTTTATTTTTAGAGCCAATTTGTCCCACTCTTGAAGTCTCATAAAATAGAAGATAAACCTAGTCTACTTTGTTGTGTATATTAAATAAGTTAATAAAAAAAATTCCATGTTTGCTTATAGCTCTTCCTTGTGTGCTAGCCTGACCCTTTTTCTGAGTTCTAATTCAAGCTTAACTTGGGGACTGGAGAAATGGCTCAGCAAGTTAAGGGTGCTCTTTGCTCTTGCAGAGGACACGGGGTTGGTTCTCAGCACCACGTGGTTTCTCACCCAGATCCAGAGACTCCAGAGGTCTGCATATCTACATGTGCACATGTCTACATGTAGGCAAGCATTCACGCACATAAAATTAAGTACATTTTTAAAACAAATTTTAAAAGCATAACTTCACCTCTTCCTCCTTCCCGATGTTTGGATTGCAGTCAGAACCCCAAGTATGCTTGCACTGATATTCTTGTCTTGCCGTTGTCCACCGTCCCTGTGTACAAGCTGCATGCAGGCCTCCATTGCCGAGTATGCCTGCTCTCTTGGATCTGTCTTAGTCCCATTTCCTATTGCTTCAATCAGATACCCTGACAGAAGCAACTTAAGGAAGGAGGGTGTAATTGGCTCATGGTTCCAGGTTGTAGTCCATCACTGGTGGGATCAGCTGGGCAGTGATGACCGTGGCCAGTTTATGCAGCATGCCTGTGCTCCCTTTCACTCAGTCCAAGGCCTGGCTCCTCAAATGACACTGCCCATGTTCAGGGTCGTCTTTTCGCATAGGTTGACCCAATCAAGAGAAGAGCAGTCTAGAGAGAGGGCTACATGGTGGGAGGAGAAAGCCTACTCCCTCCAACTGTATTTTGATCCCCCCATACACAGCATAGCATGCACAGACACACAAATAAATAAACAAATGTAATAAAGAATTAAATAAATAATATCCCAGGTCAACCTATTCTAGACGATCTCTTGTTTATACTCCTTTCCCTGGCGATTATATAGCATGTCAAGTCAATCAAAACTATCATAGATCCTCACCAAAAAGACACAGCTTTCTCCCTTTTCTTTCAAGAAACTGCTGAGATTTATAGCTTACCTACCCTGTTATTTTTCTCTCAAATTATAGTAAAATAGTCTTCAAACCTCAGACAAAGAATTTACTTCAGAAAGTAGTCAAGGCAGTGTTTGTCAGAGGTTCCAAAAGTTTCCTTCATTAAACTTTGTTCTCATTACCTCTTTATCGTATAAATGAATCGTTCTAGTCATTCTTTTAGTTGGAAAGATAAATAAATATGTTTAATATATTATAAAGTTATTAAATTAACTTTCTGTAGACTGTTAACTCTTTGGTTTTGGTTGATAATGTTTAAAAGGAAACTATTTGTAAGAAATTAATCCAAATTTTCTAAAGATGTTAAAATAAATGATAAAGAAATTTTTTGTTTTCTTTGAAACAAGACGCCATTGCGTACCAGTGTCTAGCCTAGAACTTGCTATGTAGACTGAGCTGGCCTTGACTGTCTCTGCATTCTTAGCAGTAGGATTAAAAGTTATATGCCACAGTGCCCTACCCATATAAACATTTTATTGAGATATAACAAGTCCTTAGTTTGTCTACTGGTTGGTATTCTTTTCTTAGTTTTGTTTTCTTGTTGTTTTTTAATGTGATAGTTTGATCAGATTCCCACTGCAAAAATAAATTTAAAATTTTAAAAATCTAATGTGTGTCTCCTTCCATTAATAAATCATTCCAGTTTCTTTTGTATCCCATTTCCAACCAGTAATTTGAAAGAACAGCCAATTCTTTATTTATAGTTTTACAAGAAATTATGAGGAAGGCTGCAGGTGGCTCAGTGTTTAATACCGTGTAGCTGCTCTTACAGAGAACACAAAGGTCAGTTCGCAGCACTTGCATCTCTCAGCCCACAGCTACCTCTAACTTCAACTCCTGGGGATCTAATGCACTTTCCTGGACTCCATGGGCACTTATTCTCATATGTATAAATATGCATATGTTTTTAGACACATGCGTTTACCCTGTCACTCACACACACACACACACACACACACACACACACAACACAAAAATAAAAATTTTTGAAATAAATACATAAATGTGAAGCCAAGCAAGGTAGTTTGTGCCTATGATCCCGGCACTTCAGAAACTGAAGCAGGAAGATCATGAGTTTGAGGATAGCTTGACCTTCATAGTATGATACTATCATGGAGAAGGAGAAAGGGAGATAAAGAAATTCTTAAATAACACTAGGGACAGCTCCACTTGAACAGGATGTGGTATGTTGGATTTCTTTCTACTTTGTCCCAGCTTCCTTAGTCAAGCAAATTTAATCAAAGATATTTTTCCTTCATTTTTTTCACTGTTCCTTGTATAAAACAGGAAACAAAGAATTTAGAAGTGAATAACTCATACTTGAAGTGATTAAGATTTTGTTTAATTTGTATGGTGATGAAGATTCCTTTAAATATGGGGTATTGGGACAGGAGGAATGTCTTAGCAGTTAAAGAGAAAGGGTTGCTCCTCCTGTGGAGGACCTAGGTTCTGTTCCCAACACTAACATGGCAGTTCACAACTCTCTGTCACTCCCAGTGTCAGGGATCTGATGCCTTCTTCTGGCTTATGTACCAAGCACACATGTGATGCACATACATTCATGCTGGGAAATACTCATACAAATTAAATAAAGATAAATCTTTCAAAATGTGTAACTATGTCTTGTTTGTAATATAAAGTACAATTAAATATAGAATTTAAATAAAATTGAATTGTTATTAGAAAATGTTGATAAATTGTTCATTCCAAGTGCTGTTTTAATTAGCCTACCATACCTTCCCTGTAACTACCAATAGACTAGAAACTCAGTTCATAGGCATTGGATCTGCTGTGGTTGAGACTTTCCTCCCTTTGCTTCCATATCAAATGATATAATGTCCCCAAGTTTGTTTTTTGTATATTATTCTGTATTTTGTTACTAGCAGAATGAGCCACCATTAAGCTGTGGTTAATGTGTACTTGCAAATATGTTTAGAAGTGCTTGTAAATATCAGAGAGTGAAAGTACTTTGCAAATAAATTTTTGTTAGCCAACAAATGTTAATGTATGGTGTGATGTCTTTAAATGAGTAGATATGAGCATTAATAACTTTAGCATATATTACTCTCCTTCATATTTTCACATGTCATATTCAACTTTCTAGGTCTCTGGTTTATGCAGAAATGGAAGAAATCAGGCTCTCTTTTACAACTGACATGCCGAGATCATTCAGACCCTCGCCAAACATTTTTATATAAGCTTAGTAATAAAGCAGGTAAGTATTTAGCAACAGTTTAGAAGGCAGGCTTGTAAGCTAGCAGATTATCAGGTCTTTCTGGTGATGAAAATATATCATTCAGCTACAATTTGGGAAACAGCTGTAATTTGGGAAAGAAATAGCAGAATCTAATGCTAAGCTATTAGATTAGTTTTTAATTTCTTATCAGGAGATATTGATGGTCACCTTTCTCTCTGGCAGTGTGCAGAGTATCTTCTAGTACCATGAACACTAGTCAGTGGAAGTGAAGGCTCTAGGTAGGCACCAGCTCAACCTCTCTGTGTCTGATTTCATATGTAAGTGTTGTTGTCAACAGTAGGCCTTGCCATCAGGTTATGGAGCGCATCTAATACCCTTGGCAATAGTCTGTGGTGTGTAGGGTTCCATGGGTCCCTTTTGGTCAGTGACCCAACAGTATTTAACCCTAACCTCTTCCTGGCACTGGAGGTTTTACTTGGTAGAAAAAGATACCTGGTGGTATTGTTTGGTGACTCTATTAGGATCCTTTTGATATATGTGTATATTTTACAAAGCTACAGTAGTAGGTTTCCAGATGGTTATTTAATGGTCATTTAGTGTTTATTATTCCTCCCAGTATTCCATTCTTTGCTCTTCCAACCCCCTTCCTGTTTAATCTCCATTCTAGTTTTTACTTTGTCTCTCCATGACAGTATATTCTATTTCCCTTCCTTGGAAGATCCTCTTTACTAAGTGCCTAACCTCTGTGTTTATATGGATTACAGCATACATTGAAAGCTTAAAAGCTAACATTCACATATAAGAAAAAACATACAATATTTGTCTTTGGGGGACTGGGTTACTTCACTCAGAATTTTTTTTTAATAGCTCCATCCATTTGCCTGCTAATTTTTCTTAAGAACTAAATAATACTCCCATCATGTAATGTATCACCTTATATTATTTATCCATTCATTAGTTGATGGACATCTAGACTGTAAAATTTTCTGACTGTTATAAACAGAGCATCAGTGAATATGGTTAAGCAAATGTCTCTGTAGCAGGATGAAGTATCCTTTGGATATATACCCAGAGTAGTATAGCTAGATCTTGATGTAGCTCTGTTCCCAGCTTCCTGAGGAACTGCTGCACTTATTTCATTACTTACAGTGACTGCATAAGTTTGCACTCTCACCAGCAATGAATGTATGCCCTGCTTTCTCCACATCCCCACAAACATGTGCTGACATTTGTTTTATTGATTGTGGCCATTCTAACTGGGGAAAGATGAAATCTCAAGGTAGTTTTGCCTTGCATTTCTGTGATGACTAAGGATGTTGAACATTTCTTTCTTTCTCAGCATTTGTGTTCATCTTTTGAGAACTCTGTATTTAGTTCTGAACCCCATTTTTAATTGGGTTACTTTTCTTGGCGTTCATTTTTTAGTTCTTTATACATTTTAGATAATAGTCCTCTACAGACATGCATTAGTAAAAATCTTTTCCTCTTCCATATTCTGTTGCTTTGTCCAAATGATGGTGTTCTTTGTCATATAGCAGCTTTTCAGTTTTATGAGATCCCATTTATTAATTGTTGGTCTTAGTGTCTGTGCTATCAGTGTTCTGTTCAAAATGTCCTCTCCTGTGCCAATGAGTTCAAGCCTATTCTCCAGTTTCTGTTAGATTCAGGATACCTGCTCTCATGCTGAGGTCCTTTCAGAGTTGAGTTTTGTGCAGGGTGTTAAAATAGGGATCTATTTGCACTCTTCTAGATACAGCCATCCAGTTTGGCTCGCACCATTTGAGAAAGATACTGGCCTCTCCACTGTATATTTCTGACTACTTTCTCACAAATCAAGGCTCCATAGGTGTGTGAACTTCTGTCTAGGTCTTGAGTTCAATTCCATTGATCAGTGTGTCTTTCTATGCTAATACTACTTTTATTTTTATTGTTGTTGTTATTACAATAGCTCTGTAGTATAACTTAAAATCAGCTATTGTGGTACCTCCAGCAATTCTTTTATTATTTTTAGAATTGTTTTAGCTATCCTGGTTTTGTATTTTTGTATGAAGTTGAAAATTTTCTTTTAAATTTCTCTAAAAAATTGTTTTGGAACTTTAATGGGGATTGGTTTGGATCTGTAGATTGCTTTAGGTAGGATGGCTGGCCATCTTTACTATGTTAATTCTTTTGATCCATGAACATGGGAGATATTCCTTCCTCTGGTGTTTTCCTCAGATTCTTCTTCAGTGTCTTAAAGTTTTTATTATATAATTCTTAGATTTGTTTAGTTAGTAATCCCAATAATTTATTTTTTATGCTATTGTGGAAGGTATTGTTTCCCCGATTTCTTTATCAGTCTGTCATTTGTATATTGGAAGGCTGCTGATTTGTGTATGTGTGTGCTAATTTTATACTCTGAAACTTTGCTGAAAGTGTGTCACCTGTAGAAGTTTTCTGGTGGTACTTTTAGAGGCTTTTTTAAAATAGAAAATAGTATCATTTGCAGATAAAGATACTTCTTCTTTTCCTTCATAATATAATAGCCATTGAGGCAAAGTACAGAAATGAACATTGTTGAATGAGCATGCCAGAGCTGCTCCAAGACTTGTTTCCCTGTGGATTACAACATAAAAACATCCTCATACTTATACACTGTTTGTAGCCCTTTGTGGAAAAGCTTTTAGATAAGTTAACAAAGTGAATTGTTCTGACGGTACATGACAATGTCTTTGTAGCTTGGGATAACTTTTCAGTAATGTTATTTTATATTCAAAATGTATGGTCTCTAGAACTGTAACATGACGACCGGCTTGTTGAGGTACCTGTCCCGCCTGGTACCCCATAGCCAGCAAGTCCCAAGGAAAATCACACATAGGATTCCATAAGATATGTAACATGAGGGGCTGGCTTGTTGGGGTTTCTGTCCCGCCCGGCACCCCAACAAGTCAGCAAACCCCAAAGAAAATCAATCACAGGACTCCATAAGATTATAAACTGATTGGCCCATTTGGTCAGGCTTCTTGTTAACTCTTATAGCTTATATTAACCCATTATTCTGATCTATATTAGCCGTATGGCTTGGAACCTTTTTCAGCTGTCAGCTCACATGTTGCCTCTTCGGTGGTCTGGGTAGGAATGGCTGAGGGAGCTTCCTCCTCCCTAGCCTTCTCCTATTCTCATTGCCCCACTTCTACTTCCTGTCTGGTTGGCCCACCTATACTTCCTGCCTGGCCAATCAGCATTTTATTAAAATACATGATTGACAGAATACAGATAATTCTCCCGCACCATAAAACTGCTTGTACACATGAGTGATAAATTTAAGATAATAATTTTCATATTTTTGTTTACCTCTTTTTTAAAAAATTGGAAAGTCGGTATGCCCCTGTATAGTTGTAGACAAACACCAATTTTTTTTTCTCGGAGTAGATGTACATGATATGTTTTCTATATGTTACCTTATCTATGTATTAATAAAAATATGCCTCCACTTAGTCTGTTAGAGTTACAGGTCTACCACTCATTCAATTTATGAAAACTGTGCCCCCCAAAAAATCAATTCACAAAGCCAGTTTTCATTGTCAGAGTCAAATCTAACTTAATTTTGATAAAATTTTTACGTTGTACTGGAATCTCCAGAAACTTATGCCCTAGAGTTGTCCATAGTATTCAGATCTAAAACTGAGCCGGACAGTGGTGGTACAAGCAGGAAACAGGTGGATCTCTGTGAGTTCAAGGCCAACATAGTCTACAGAGGTAGTTCTAGGACAGCCAGGGCTATATAGTGAAACCTTGTCTCAGAAAATAAACAAATAAAAGCAAAAAAATCTAAAACTGATTAAATATCTTGCCCTTACAGAGTAGGAAAAGAACATGCTAGGACTGGAGAGAGGGATTCTGCTCTGGTTCAGTTCCCAGCACCAGCATGATAATTCACAAACATTTGTAGCTCTGGCTCCAGAGAATCTGATACTCTCTTCTGACCCCTGGGGGTGCCAGACATCAATGTGTTATAGCATATATGCATGTGGTGAAATGGTTACACACAGAAAATACAAATAAATCCCCCCCCCCCCGTTTTTTTAAGTGGGAAAAGAGCAAATTATTCATAGAAAAGGCTGAGATCTGGACATGAGTGTTCATCACAATCTGCATCCACTCACGGAGACAAGTTATCCAGGGAGTGTAACATGAAGGCCAGCTTGGTGGGGTATCTGTCCCGCCCAAACCCACAGCCGGTAAACCCCAAAGAAAATCACACACAGGACTCCATAAGATTATAAACTGCTCAGTCTTCTTATTAACTAATTCTTACATCTTATAGTAACCCATAATTCTTGTCTGTGTTAGCCATGTGGCTCAGTCCCTTTTTCAGCTGTCAGCTCACATGTTGCTTCGGTGGTCTGGGCAGGAATGGCGGAGGGAGCTTCCTCCTTCCTAGCCTTCTCCTGTCCTCATTGCCTCGCCTCTACTTCCTGTCTGGTTGACCCGCCTATACTTCCTGCCTGGCCAATCAGCGTTTTATTAAAATATGTGATTGATAGAATTCAGACAATTCTCCCGCACCAAGGGAGTGACTGTAGTCAGTCTGCAGACCTGGGCATCAGGGTATTTTCCCATCTGATGATGCCAAAAGCAGAACAAATTTGGCATCAAATATGGCAATGAAGAAGGGAATTCTTATTTTCAATATTTTTATGAAGTATATGTGTATGTTTGTGTGCAGTTGATTAATTCCCTTATAGATAGTTGGTTGTTTACATTACAGCTTGAGTATTCTGTTTTTTCAACCTGTCACTCAAAACATGTGATAGCATTTCATGAGGAAAGGGGAAGAATGGCCTGACTTTTTGTAAACATGATTATCTACAATGAGTGTTGCTGGTCTTTATATAGGCTCAACCTTTTCAGAGTCATGGTCCTTGATTTCCAAGAGAAAAAGAGATGTCTCCAAAAGTCTTGGATTTAGTCAACAGTCATCTTAACAATTAGCTTATCCTAAGACTCTGACTCAGCATAAAATATCAGAATTTTACTGTGAAATAGTATGGAACAAAACACCATGTCTGCATACCCCAGTTGTAATGTATTGCCATCATTTTATTTGATAATCACATAATTTTTTATTTATTAATAAGCCAAATAGCAAGTTTGAATATGATGATGTTAAGAAGTTAAGTACTTTATGAGTTCAGTCACAAAAGTAACCCGTGTACTTAACCTGAACTCGCCTTCTTTATAAGAAAAAAGTGTGTGGGATGGTGACAAATTGTGACTGGATCACAGTAGCCATTATTGTCACTAAGAAAATCAAAGCAGCTGGCAATAGTGGCGCACATCTTTAATCCTAGCACTTGGAAGACAGAGGCAGACATATCTCTTTGAATTCAGGGACAGCCAAGGCTACAGAGAGAAGCCCTGTGTCAAAAAAATCAAAAGAAAGAAAGGGACGAAGGGAGGGGGAGAGAGAGAGAGAGAATCAAAGCACATGTTCTCTTCCCCAAGTCAAATAAGCAGAATATGTGAGTGGTGATAGACAGGTGTTAAAAGGAAAAACTTAAGAAAAATGTTTAAATGATTTTAAATGGAGTGGTCTTTTTTTATGGAAGAGTATGATTTGTTTCTTCAGACTATCCATAAATATTGCCTTCTGGAAGGCAGGGCCATAATAACATTAGAGCCCCGGACGCCCACGCCTGATTTCTCAGTCTCCCCGCGCCACGGTGCCAGGGTCGTCGTGCTGTCAGTGCAGACGAGCATTTCTTCTCCCTTAACACAGCAAGTGCATACACGGAAGTGACTTCTGAGAGCAGCTAGGAATTTGAAGGATAGAATCATGTTGTATTTTAAAAGTCATAAATATACTACTGCTGAGGAAATTTAATTTTTATTTATTATGATATTAGTAAATTTACATCCGGTTAAGTTTTGTATTCTAATTCTCTATTTTCTACCTTTAGGGCTTCATTATTTCAAGAATGTTGTGCTGGTAGGATCTCTACAGGATCGCTATGTTCCTTACCATTCTGCCCGCATTGAAATGTGTAAAACAGCTTTAAAAGACAAGCAGTCAGGTAATGAGTGAACAGATACTTCAGTGAGTGTGTGTATGAATGGAGTTTTCCCCAAAATTTACCATCAAGTCATGTCTTTCCCTTTCTTCTCCTCCTCTTATCTAAGGCTAGTCTTCTCCCGTGTTTTGCATATTTTTCTCTTCTGCTCTTTTGTGAACTTAAAGTTTCTGCATTCTGCCGTTTGGAAAGTAATCTGAACTTTGGGTCCCCCTCCGTTGTTATGGTAGTGCTTGTGCTTAATGTTTTCCTGTCACCACTTAGGTGAAGATGGCAACAAGGATGCCCCTTTATAATGCCACTGAGTTCTCTTGGTTCCTTTGCTGCTTGTGACATCAAAGGTAGTTGAAGCTGCTAGGCAACCTCAGTCTTGTTTGCTCATTTAGTTACTAAAGCTCAAAGATACTTCATGGTTTATGCAAAGTCACTGTTGACAAATACAGGCTTAAAGTAAGTATCTGGATCTTCTACCTCCCTAAGCTAAGCATTGTCTTAGCTCCTTTTTTAGACTCTTGACCCTTTTCTTGTTGCACACTATAACAGCAACCGGGTCCTTAAGGTAGGGGCTTTTAATATGCATGTCTATTGGCAGAGCCTAGCATGGTACTCCGTGTCACCCTTGCTGTGCCATCAGAATAAGTTGAGCCTACATAAGGGAAAAGTACAAAAGCTATCCAGATGGGTATCCAAAATGAAATAAATGTCTTTAACAATGAGATTCTTTGCTAAAAGTCTTCCTTTTTAAACATACTTTGGAAACCAGCAGGGACTCAGAAAGCCAGTTTGACTCCCAGTAAAAAGTAAGAGGAAGGAAGGTTATGAAAAGATTTGGTTGTAGTTTCTTTCCTTTGTGCTTTTTCTTTGGTTAACTTATGTGTTATTAGTCTTCTTTTAAATGCCTGCTTCTTGGTCTTTATTCTTCTATATATACCATTTCCTTCCTGTCATTCCTCAGTACTACATTCTATTTCTGAAACATGAAACCTACTGTGCTTAAATTGCCTGCTTCCCTGAAAACATTAACTACTTATAAGGAGTATAGAAGCATTATAAGCAATATTTTGTACCTTATACTAGTTTGTATACTTATATATGTACAAACATAATATATCTCGTCTTTGTGTTTTTTACTTAATATGACCTGCTAAATCCATTGTAAGAATTAACTAAAGAAGGAAGGGAGAATAGGAGTCCAGCTTTGAATTAAAGCTGATTTGGGGTTTTGTCTGTTTTGCGTACATAGAAGTGGGTTTCATTTTGATATTTTCGTTCCTTTATATTATATTCTTATCTATGCCCCATATGCCCTCTCCCCCTGTTTCAGGTCCCCTTCCTCCCCTCTTCTCTTTCTATAAAGCACATATTCTGTTACTCTCATTCTCTCCCCTTCCCGTCTCACCTCCTCTCACCTCTCCTAGTTCCCTTTCTGAAAACAAGATTAAGAAAATGTGGCACATGTTCAGCTATAAAAATGAATGGCATCCGTATGAAATGAATAAATCTGAGATCACCATGTTAAATGAAATAAGCCAGGTTCAAAAAGAAAACACCATGCTTTCTTCTCATATTTTATTCACATTAAAATATAAGATAGAGAGCAAGAAAAGTGGAGGACTTACTTTAAACTTAAAAGTATGGTATAGAGCATTTTAAAAAATGCTAACTAACCACTTAGACCACAAAAGCACACTCTTCAAGCCAACTCAAATTGTTCTGACAAGAGGAAGTTGCTGTTCTTTGTCAAAATATTGTAGAAATGTTATCTGCCATACAATTATTTTTAAAGAACTTGCTTCAGTATGAAGTGTTTTATTTTACCATATCAAAGTATTTTATCATCAGCTTATTTTCTTTGCTTAACAAATTATTAGTGACTAAAGTTAAAGAAAACTGCTTTATATGCATTTTTCTGAACAAAAATAGTGTATAATAAATTTGAACTGGCCAGGTGAGGTATTGATTACTAATACTTCCTTTAAAACAATCTCAATAGCTGAAGAAAAGAAAATAATGATACTTTTCTGCTTTATGTGAAAATAATATCAATTTTTTAAATTAGAGGGAAGTTGACAGACTTTTTCAGTTATGCAAATAATTTTCCTTTTTGTCTCCTTTATAGGACAGATCTATTCAGAAATGATCCACAACTTACTTCGCCCAGTTCTACAAAGCAAAGGCTGTAATTTGGTTCGATACAACGTCATTAACGCCCTGCCCAACACGGCCGATTCGCTCATCGGGAGAGCTGCACACATAGCTGTTCTTGACTCGGAAATATTTTTAGAGAAGTTTTTTCTGGTTGCTGCCCTCAAATATTTCCAGTAGGACAGAAGCATCATTAGAGACTTACCAATTACCTCATTCAGCAACGATTTAAATAATGTATTATAGTGTGTAGATGTTAAGTTCTAAGACATATTTATACCTTTTTATATGGAAGATAATTTATATCATCCATGTGTAGAGCCTTTTAAACATCAACTTTACTTTTAGGTAATGTGGCTGTGCAATATTTTTTTAATTTTATCTTTTTACTTTTCTATTTTTCATATGTTTTGCTACCTAAGTATTTCAGTGAAACTTGGAGCCCATATGTATGTCTGATCATTTATTATTGGCTTCCACAATCCTTATTCAGACTATATCACGTTAAAGGCTGTTATTGTTAGGATAGTATAGGATTTTTAATTTTCTAATTTGGGGCTTTTAGTGGACAATAAATTTTACTTTTAACACTTTATTCTGTTGTAACTGGAAATAAAATGGCTGCTAAAATGTATTTTTGAAATCAACCTCTTTAATCCTAAAATACTAACTTTACATTTGCTCAAACCAGGTGGTTCATACATGCCAATGTTTTAAAGGTTTTCTATGAAATCATTATTGTTGCTATTAAACATGTGTCATGCTTATTAAAATATATTTTTACTGGTCATTTCAACATTATTTCTCATACTGACTTTTATCCCTGGACTTTTCTTGTTCATTAGGAGCGTATAAAGATTTTTGAATGCCCTCTGCCTTGATTTGATTGGAATTTTGTTAAATTTAGTAATGTTGCTTGAATTTCTCACAGCAGTTCTTTAACCCTTTTCATAGAGTTCCTTCTATGTAATAATTAAATGTTGAGATTTATGAAATACTTTTATGAATTTAGATAATTTTTAAATACTATTAAAATTTATTGAGCTAAGAGTCATGTAAATAGAGTTAAAATTGAGAGATGATTAACTTTACATGTTTGGTGATACCAATGCAGATGTTTTTGATATATGGAGATGTTGAGTCTTTTGACTTTACAAACGGTGCTGAACAGCATTCAATTCACTACCCACTTCTGTTTTACTTGTGAAAATAATAATGTGCTACGGGTGGATGGAAGGTCTGTTTACATTCACCACTTGTAGTGGGCAACGGTTTTTGTTAAGTCTGTATTATGTATAATTGGTGCATGTTTATTTTTAGTATGTTAATTGCCTCTGATGTTAATAAATGAGAAAATGCCTTTCTGGAGGAATAGCAGTAACATTTGTGATGGTTTGCTTATTCTTAGAATCCCTGGAGATGCAACAGTGGCCTGTGTAATACTCTGTGAACAGTGGATGAGTTATACAGTGGCTTATCCATCCAACCTCCTTGTGTCATAAGCTAATTCCATCTCACTTTATATAAGCATGCCCTGATATTGTGCAGCACTCTGATACATTCTTAGAATGTGCCCTCATCATTAAGTGATAAACGGCTGCCTATGCTTTCATTCATAAGTAAATATACTAATCTTTCATATATATCAAGCACTGAAAATAATTTTATTGATCATATTTGATAACTATTTACTTTTTAAAAGTTATTCAAGTTTTTTATGAGTTGAACTAAGCATTAAATAAACCAAACTTACTGTAACTGGAACTATAAATATATCCATTATCAGCCACATATTTTTGCTATATATTTTTCATGTTTGTATAGGTTGATTTTCAGTTTGAAATAATGAATCTTAAGTTTAAATACCTACTGTCTTGACAAAGACCTCATTCATAATCATGTTAATCATATTTAAAGGAAACTTGCTCTCAGAATCATAGTTCACTGGATTTTGGTCATTTCAAAAGTGTTTCGGTGATTGTAGTTTTAAATCTAATGTTTGATTTCTGACTTATCAGGAAAATCAGCATATATTATTTACCTCCATAAGGTGACATTCTAAAAGAGCAGGACCATGATTATCTGACATGGTACAATTGACTCACAGAATGAATCTTATCAGTGTGTACCAGTAATAGTTCTTGGTTGCAAGCAGTGAATGTTTATGAGTAACTTAACACAGAATAAACGAATTTATTGAAAGAAATAGCAGGTTCCTCAAATAATTGAAGAAAAGACTAGAGAACAGGATTGGAAGACAAGCCAAAGGGAAGTGAGGTCCACACTCCCATCTGAGCTCTGACCCTGAGAAGAGTGAAGGGAAGATGTATATACTTGCTGCTGGGGGCCTATTAGAACTGGCTTTCAACCCGCCCTCCAGAGTCACAGTCTGGTGGGAGTACTAGGTGACCACAGCCAGGTTTTGTGCCAATGCTAGGGTCATAAAGGACATGAAGGACAGCAGATGTACCTGACCCTCTGAGTTTTCAAAGTAGGAAAGGGCATTCTAACAAGAATCCTGCTTTTTTTGCAAAGTTTCACTTTAGCTTCGTGAAGACCTTTAGGGACTTCCTAGTAGTGTGGTCCAGTGAAGATGTTTAAGTTTTCAAAACAGAACTTGGTCCAGAGCCCTAGCATAAACTAACGTCTCTCTAGCTAGAGTACCTTGGACAAATTCTTTGATTTAAAACAGTTACTTAAACCTCATCTCTGAGAAAAGACAGAATGTGATACTGACTGAGCACAAAACTATTTTTGTGGTGCAGGGGTAAATTTTGAGACAGGGTTTCTCTGTGTAACATTCTGACTGTTCTAAAATTCACTTTGTGACCCAGCTGGCCTCAAACTCATAGAGATCCATGTAACATGATAGCCGACTTGTTAGGGTTTCTGTCCCGCCCAGTATCCCACAGCCGACAAGCCCCAAAGAAAATCACACAGAGTCTACATTAGGTTATAAACTGATTGGCCCATTAGCTCAGGCTACTTTTTAGCTCTTATAACTTATGTTAGCCCATTATTTTTATCTATGTTAGCCACATGGCTCAGTACCTTTCACAGCTGGGCAGGTTACATCTTGCTTCTCTGTGGTCTGAGCGGGAATGTAGGAATGGGCTTCCTCCTTCCTAGCCTTCTCCTGTTCTCATTGCCCCACGTCTACTTCCTGTCTGGTTGACCCGCCTATACTTCCTGCCTGGCCAATCAGCGTTTTATTAAAATACATGATTGACAGAATACAGATAATTCTCCTGCACCAGATCCGCCTGCCTCAGGTTCCCAAGTGCTGGGATTAAAAGGCGTGCACTGCCATGACCAAGCTAAAACCCAAATTTTAATCTTTCCCTTGTAAATGTGACCTTGCCAATGAGCCTTGCTAACTGCTCTTAGGAAGAGTCAGAATCAGTTTCCTAAGTCTTGGGACTACCTTGTCCCAGGACAACTAGGTTGTAATGGCGAATCAATCCCACACCAGTTAGGTTTTAAAGGGGTATTTATTTTGGGGGGTAAAACTTACATACACACAAACCGTCAGGAAAGGAGCCTAGTCGCTGGAGCAGGAGCCGGAATCAAGCGCCGGAACCAAGAGAGCCCGAGCCGAGACTTGCGGCTCTTTATAAAAGAGAAATATACTACGTCCCAGTGGGCTGGTATTTCAGCAGCTATTGGCTGAAGGAGCGGAAGGCGCTCCTGCAGCATTGTAGGCTCGTACTTCAGTGACTATTGGCTGAAGGAGAGGAAGGTACTCCCGCAGCATCTCCCCCTTTTGTTTAAGTAAGAGAGTTCTAAGCCTACCATGAAATTATATACAGTAAGTACAAACCTACAAAATTATATACAATAAGTACAAATATCCTATTCTAACTAGCTTAAGTCTTGTATAATAAATAACTTGGCCAAGTCATGAGAGGAAAGTAGCTACATTTATCTAGTCTTCAACCCCATAGAAGATCCGAGAAGGGAAATAATGTTACCTGAGTAATTAGGAAGTGCAATCAAAGAACTTCCAAAGCATGCAACAAATCACAGAGACAACTGGATACCTGGGTAATCACCAAAGACCTGTTTGCAGCGTTGGAGCTGCCAACTTTGACTAAGGCCTAGAATAACTGACAGATTATTTTTAACAGGCAAGAGATTTTTCAAAACCATCTTACCTTGTCTTGACAAGATTTAACAGTTCTGTCTATCCATTTCCGGATTTTATCCATTTCCGGATACCCTGTATTTGTCAGTAGTTGAGGTATGGGCAGTTCCTTGCCTCGAGGCCAGTTTTGTCAAGAAGACAAGCTCCAAGTGGAGTATTTTTGGTGCTCAACAATCTCTCGGGAATAGGTCGGTGTTGCCAGGAGTGATTGTATCTCACTACACAGAACTCTAAGATTAAATTAAATGCCATTTTCTACAGCTCTTCGAAGAGGTTGAAGACTATTTATACAGAATATAATCTCTATGTATCTAAAGAACCTGGTTAATCTAACCATAAATATGACAGACATAGATGACTATTGATCTACAATTCTTAACATGTATCTAACTTAAAGACTAAGAGAATAAACAACTGTGCAATAAATGAGGACAATGACCTCCAAATGTTAACAATAAATATCAATACATAAACAATATATGAGTATCTTAATCAGAGGTAGAAATGTACACTGCAATATGGTATACATATATCAATACAATATATATCAATACATAAAAAATGTTTTAAACAGGTAGAAGCATGCATACATACAATATTCAGTATAACTTTGTATCCATATAAAAAATCTATGCCGATGTAATTATCTATGAACAATAACTCACAAATACCATTATTATCTATCCAATTTTCCCTCTTTTTTTTCAAAAAGATCTCTGAGCTTATAAAATTCCTTTCCCAACTCTCAACCATATACTAATTATAATCAATCCCTAAATATTGTTCCTAAACCTGAGGACAAACTTTGCTGAGAGAGAGAACATTGTCCTCTAGAATTACTTCCAGCTGTCATGGGGGTGAGGTTCTTTCTGGAGGACCCTATAAAAGTAAAATGATGGTTAAATTTCAAGATCAATGTCTTTTAAAATTGCAAACGATCAATGAGTATTTTGTGGAGGTCTGGCCAGAACGTTGTACAAGATGTGTACCATTTCAGCTAATCAAGTTGGAATCATCTGTGCAGCTGATACCTGGAACAGGACTTGTAGTAGCTCTATCAGTATGGTGACGTCATATCAACCGAGTGGAGTTGTTGTTATGGGGGTCCCTTCTTCTTCCTGGAAACTTCAAATGTCAGTGCAGAAAAAACTCATTGTTCATTGTGGAAAACTTAAACATTAATTATATAGACATATACAAACATGTATTCAATGAAAGGTATGATAGACATATTCAATGAAAAGTATGATAGATATGAAGAAAAGCAAAGATGTTTTCTAAACTCATATTTCTTTCTGTCCCATATCATGGCTCTTGACATAAGACAGAAACTCCAGAAACTCTGGGTTGTTCTCTTAACAGGCTTGGAAATAGAGAGGGACCGAGCCAAGAGTCCAACTCCAAAACCAGCTCTATAAATTCAGAAATATGATTTAGTATATTCCAGAGCTTCATAATCACAGAACCTATTCATTTTTCTTGATAGTTCATATTGGGTAATTAGACCAATCTGTCAGTATTTTTCCATCTGTCAGTATTCAAACATCCAGGGTCCCTTGAATTTTTCAAAGACGAGTGTTTTCCTGTGGAGACAAGAACAGATCCCTGCCCCCATTCTGTTTTTCTTACCACCTGTATGGTCATCATCATTGTAGATGCTGTCATTTCTCCTTTCCAAGAGGTTTCTTCTCTTCAAATCTAACCTTTATTAATTTTGATGGTATCCACAATTTTTCTTCTCCTGTGGAAACAAGAGCAAAACCCCTTCCCCAACGTAGCACATCTCCTGGCTTCCATTAAGAGGTCAGCACATCCTTGATATAAACTGGTTGATTTAGTTCAGCAGACTTTTCCATTATCCAATGTCTTTCTGCTTCTGTTGTTCCCTTCTCATTAGCATTAAGAAAATTCAAGGTTAATAAGGCATTATGTAATCTTTTTCTGGGGGCATTTTCCACCCCTTTCTGTTTATTTAACATCCTTTATAGTTTGGTTTGATCTTTCTATGACTGCTTGACCTGTAGGATTGTATGGTATACCTGTAACATGCTTAATATTATAATAAGCAAAAAACCATTTCATTTTCCTAGAGACATAAGCTGGACCATTATCTGTTTTTATTTGTGCAGGTATACCCATAATGGCTATAACTTCTAATAAACGTGTGATTACTGAGTCAGCTTTTTCTGAGCTTAAAGCAGTTGCCCACTGAAAGCCTGAATAAGTGTCAATGATGT